TTTCTTTCTTTCTTTCTTTCTTTCTTTCTTTCTTTCTGGGCCTCTCAATTTCTGGTGCTAATAATTTACATACAATTTTATATTATGCTTTTTCATCTAAAATTATATTATTAATAGAAAATGCTGACCCTAATGTTCGTGTCTATATAGTCTTGTAATGTATAAGTATAAAATAGCTTGCTGAACTATTCTACAGATGGCGAAACTGAGGCACAGCGAGGCGCAGTACTCTCCCAGGTGGCATAGCCAGTCGGGACGAACCTGAGCAAAGCGAGCGTCTGTGCCCTGTGCCTGCTGTTACCTGGGGCAGCCTTGTATATGCTGTGCTTCATGCTTACCTGTGCTAGGAACATTTTTTGTTTTGTTTTGTCCTGTAGCTCAAAACTTTCCCCCTTGCTGTTTTACTCCAGTGAGAGCTGTCTGATGAAACCTTTGAAGTTGTATACACCACCCTCGGTCATAAAACCGAGCAGTTTTTAAATTGCCCAAGTGTTGTGCTTTGGCATGTAGATGCTAAGGGTCATTTAATAATTACTGGGTGTGGAGGACCTCCTGCTTCCCAGAGGTACTGAGCCCTTTGTACACTTTGCTCACTTAATTCATAAAATAACCCAGTGGGGTGTATTTTATTTTTTGATTTTCTGGTAAGGAAGAAGGGACTCAGAGTACCCAAGGGAGGTTCAGATTTGAGTCTTTTGCACCAGCCTGATTCCCCATAGGGAAATCCTGCCCTTTTGTGGAAGTTCTCCAGTTTTCTGCTTTAGCCTTCTCAGTCCCTAAAGAGGCTTCCTCTTTGAGTGCAGCAGCCATAGACTATGGTCCCCGGGTTTAATGCACTTGCGGGCCCAGAGCCCCTATCCCCATCTGTCTTCTGTCCATCTGCCTGCCTGCCTGCCTGGCTATCTCCGACCTCCTGTAACATAGCTCTTCCATGGCAAATGCAGCAGTGGCAGGAGCACAGACGGCTCTGATAGTCAGGAAGAGGCCTTCTGGACTCTTGTTGTCCTCCCTACCTGTGAGGACAGGTACCACTCTGAGGATAACAGAGTGCCCGTAGTTTGTGAACATGGGATCTAAGGAGGTTGGGCTGAGTAACTTGGTCTGTAGGGTACATAGTACATACACAGATGACCTCACCCAGGGGCAGGCCTCAGGTAGAAGAGACCTCAGAGTGCCAGGTGCTGGGCTCTGCCTCCACAGGCCCACATCACTGAAATCCTACTGTGGACCAACAGATAAGCATTGGGCTCCTAACACAGGCCAGCACTCACCTTGTCTGCAAAGAAAGGGAGAACTGAACAAGAAGATATGCAATGAAGGTTAAGAGATTATTTTTGTAGAGTAGTCTGGCCCTTGTCGACATGGAAGGCATTAAGGTTGAGTATTACAAAGCTAAGCTTTTCAGAGGCTGCTCACCATTATCTGTAAACCCAGGGCTACCTCAGCCCTGAGTGAGTGATGAGAAGTTGCTCCATGACTGTGTGTCTCAGTAGGCAGTTTGGCATGGCCGCATGTGACTCTGCCTCTGTGGGTAAGGGAGTGTCCCATAGTGAACTTTGCAGTAAGGAAGCCCTCCCTACCCCTTATCATGCCTCTTTCCTTTGTAAGGCCATCTCTGACCCATCAAGATGTTAGGGAAGGTTTGTTCAGAAACCTTTGAGGAGGAGGGCAGGGACCCCAAGCCTCATAGGAGTGGCCCTTGTTTGTCCTTTTAACTCAGAAGCAGCAGCCTGGGTTGGTGGAGGTCTGCAGTGGAGCAGTTAGGCTGGGTTTGCATCCTGGCCTGCTCACCAAATAGATCTGTCTTTGACACTGAAACTTGTGCCACTTCGGTTTCTTCCCAGGAACTTACAGGGGAATTTCTTCTTCCCATGGCTTTCTGCGAGGATTTAGTGAGATTTGCTGTAAGAAAGCAGTGAGCATGGGCTTGATGCAGGGTGGATGCTTGGGTCAGTGTGCTGAATCCAAAAGCAAGGCTTATCAGGCAGTGGAGAGCCAAGATAACCAATGTTCCTTTGGTTACTTGAAGTTGTTCTAAGATTAACTTGGGCCTCTGTGGGAAAGGATATCTATACTCTAAGGACCAGAGTTGGGACTGATAAGGGGCTGCTGCGTGAAGAAGGGTGACCAAGAATTTTCTGTATGTTCCATTGCTTGGGAGTCAGTTCTAATCTCTTTCTTATCTGTTTGATGCTTGGAGACTTAATTGGATTATTCATAAGGGAAGGAGTAGGATGAGAAAAGCAATAGTAGTAGCATTTATTGAGCATTTAACATATACTAAGTATTAGACTAAATTGCTCATCACGATTACATTACTTAATCCTTACTGCAGTCCATGAAATTGGTACTAAATTTCCATTTTATAAATGAGCTAAGAGTCAGAAAGTTTCACTTGCTTGTCCAAGGTCATCAAAACGAGCACATGGGAAAATCCAGAGGTTTTGACTCCAAAGTGAAGGTGCCACTTGGGATGTGTTTGGCATAATTTTGATTGTGTCATGAATATGAGAAAGCATGGACAACCACACATACTGCTGTATGTGAAGTTTAACTTGCTCTGCAGAGTGGAGACATGGGAACCACCCAGGGCAGCTGCCCATGTGTGTTAGACAAGTCTGTGTGCACTGTGTGGTGTTGTATTATGTGGTATGTATATATTTTATTTTGTTTTATTGCAAAGGTGTATGTGCTAAGCACACCTGAATTGTATTTGTATAGATGTGGCCAAATGTGCACATGTGCCTTGAGGTTGAGTAGAGGCATTGGCTGTGCACAAAGAGAGGGAGCCCTGGGCTCACCCTATCCAAAGTAGTGACTTGATTTCCACTCTGTTTCCTTTGTGGGGTGAAAAGATGAAGCTGCATGCATTTGTTACAGCAGAGTATCTTTAAGTGCTGTGGCATGAGTATCTTGAGAGAAGGAAGACCACATGCAAAACTAGAATAGTCACCTCTGCACCAAGGATGGAGTCTTCCCATGGCACACATTCCCAGCTCCTTGGGCCTCAGTGGTACCTGAGCCTCACAGAGCAGGGAGAGAAAGACCTGATCAGGTAGGAGGAGGCAGGGGAAGGAGCAGGTTAATGGCCAGGAAAAGTAAATTCCTTCAGCAAAGTTCCATCCTGTGAGGAGGGCAACGAGCCCCTCTAACTCCTCTTACCTCTGCCCCTAACTCCTCATGTGTCTTTGGGCCCAGTGGGCAGTGGACTTTGGGCTCTGACAGCAGGCATTTCATCATGGTTTGGTGGTCTCTTTAACCTGGTGGGGTTCTCTGTTGCTTTTTCAGGCTGAGGTAGCCCAGCTGCAAGAGCAAGTGGCCCTGAAAGATGCAGAGATTGAGCGTCTGCACAGCCAGCTCTCTCGGACTGCAGCTCTCCACAGTGACCACACAGACAGAGGTGACTGGGGTGACTGTGACAGAATGCAGTTGTCCTGGGCCCTGGGTTCACTCTTAAGTATGCGTTCGTGTGTATGTCGGTGTGCTAATGTGCATGTACATGCATCTGTGTGTGTGAGCATGTCCAAGTAAATGGACGTGTGTGCGTGTGCATGTGGGAGCCTATAAAATGCAGCTTTATTGTGTAGAATCATGCCATGGACTTCTCCCTTATCCAGAACACTCAGCTCTGACTGCTAAGGGTTAATTGAAGCTTTATGTTATTGATACCTCTTCTGGAGCTTTTACCAAGAATGTAGGAAATACTTGACTTTCATTGATTGAAAAGCCTTATTTCTAGGTTATCACCAAAGAGGAAGCTTAGCAATTTACCCTACCTGGCATTTGTACAAGGCCCTGAAGTTACAGATGCAAACCATTTCTTTCTCACCCTTTAGATCTCAACTTAAAGGTAATTTCTCAAAAAGGCCTTTCTTGGCTGCCCTACCTCAGGTAGATCCCCCTAGTCCTGTTATTCTCTAACTCAGCATCCTTCCTAGCACTTCCTATAACTTAACAGTGTTATATTTTATGAGGTCTTGGGCCATCCCCACTCTGAGACAGATTTATTTAAGAGCCCAGCACCATATACAGCCCATGATAGCCTCCTATGAAATAGTTGTTGAATAAGTTAAAGGATAATGAGTGATCCTTAAAGGGTTCAAGACTTGTGGGTTGCAAATAGAGGCTAGATCTTCAAATATAAATATTCTTATTAATGAACATTTTATATTTATGGCTATGTCATGTATGCAGAATGATCGCACACCTTCCAACTTCTCCACTTGCCCGCCGGCTGCTGGTGATCATACAGCCCTGTACATTGGTGCCGCTGTTTAGTCTCAGCTCAGCCTCAGTGCAGCTTAGCGTGGGTCTGAGCTTGGATAGGAAGGCCATGCATCCCTGCTACAATGGCTTAAGCTTAAAAAATGAATGAGAGACTATCATGCTCCTCCTTCCCCCAGCCTTTCATCAGTGTTCTCTCAGGTCAATGAGTGCATCACCTACCTGCCACAGCCAACCTAGGAAGGCTGGGATATTCTGAACCATCTTATATGCGAAACCTGAGTAGATTTCCCGGTACCATAGCATCCAACCCAGGCAGCCACTCCCTCTATTGCATGTTTCCCTACTGTCCAGGCCTTCCAGGTCTGCCCCAGTCCCATTATCACGTACTTCTTGGAGATGGCCCTTTGGTCATTCGCTGCCCAATTGGGTTTTGACCAATGAGTTTAGGTTTGTCTTTATCTAGAATCTTTAGAATTTACCTTCCACACCCCTCACCCCTCTCAAACTGAGCTGCCAAGCTGATAGCAGCTATCAGAAGCCTAAAAAAAAGAAAGCTACATTCCTTCCACTTTTCCATGAGACTAAATCCCCATAACTATTCATACAAAGTCCGTACATTTACTGTTCTATTTTTATTGAATATAACAAGCATCTCAAAGGAAATAGGATGCCTGTACCTTTGTTCCTTTATCTTCTGTACTTTTCTCATACAGATATTCCTATTTCCTTGGCAGTACCCAGTTTAGGAATAGTTACAAGTCCTTCCTTGGAAAATTCAGGTATATGCCAATTCCTGCACCCTTAAATGTCTCATAAAGGATCTCCAGTTTCTTCAAGCATTGGCTTTGCACTTGGCTCTTCAGACAAGTTTGGGAAAAAGTCAAGTGAGTCCGCGTGGGTCTAAAGTGAGAGAAAAACCACAGGTTTATTTTTTTTTTTAACACAGATCACCACCAACCTCTTGGCCTAAAAGGAAATTCTATAGGCTTATGATGAAATAAGAGTTTCCCCTTAACCATATTTGTTCCAATATATTTATTGGTGCATCTAAAGATTTTTAAATTATGAATATATCATCTTAAATTAAGCCAACTATGAAACTTTTTAACTAGATAATTAACCCACAGCCTCCATTCAGCTATAGACTTTTTTCTTTCTCTTATTTTACATTCTCTTCTGTTTATAGTCGGTTAGACTGTATGATTTTTTCTAAAACCATCCAGCAGCCTAGGGATATGCTGACATAAAGCAACAATGTGTGTGTTCTTAGCAAATGTTGATTGGGAAGGATTTTTGGCTCCTCTTTGTCACTTTTGAGTAAATGGCATTTTTATTTTGCCCATAAGTGTCTACAAAGAGAAAGCTAGATTCATGCACTTAGTAGCTGTCCAAAACATATTTAACGAGACTGACACTGTGCCTGATCACCATCCCAAGTTCTTCAAAGAAATAAAGGAGCCATGCTCACATGAAAGTCTTCAAGTTTGAACTTGTGGGGCATCTTAGCATATCATAGCTCTTGGCATTTATATAAATAATTCTTTCTGTGCCTAAATTATTTTAGATCAAGAAATTCAACGTCTGAAAATGGGCATGGAAACATTGCTTGTTGCCAATGAAGACAAGGTAAGATGGTCATTAAATAATCCTGTCCTTTCCCTGTTGACATCTCTGCCTGGGCCCTGCCTGTCTGCTGTTCTGGACGGAGGCATCCCCATCGGGCCAGTGGTATGAGAAGGTGTTCTGCCTTCTAGAGACTCAGCATCAGCACATGTTTTTGACTTTGATGCTTGGGAACTTTGCCTAAATGGAATCTCCAAAAGGCAAATTAGAGCTCTGCCTGTATGCTGGTATGGGGAAAAACTATCATCGTGGTTACTGTCAATATCACAGCTCTTGCTTAGATCTCTAGCAAAACATAGGAACAGTCAACCAGTCTCCCACATACCAATCTACTTCTATGACAGAACCATCATAAAAGCACATGGAAGCATGTGGTGACTCACTTTACCCTGTCACCTTATATTTTTGGCATCTAATTCCTGCATAATCATAAGATAACTACAGATAAGGAAAAAGCACTTAGCTACTATAAACATATCTCTGAGAATCCTAAGGCTGCATTTTACAGATGAGGAAACAGACTCAAAGTACTTACTTTTGCCTAGAGTCAGGAAACTAATGGATAGCAGGGCCAGGGTTCATACCCAAGTATATCTAATTCCAGGCCTCCTAAATCCTTGAAAGAATTGATCCTCTCCGGGGATTTCTTTTTTTGTGCAGTGTTTCTCAGATTCATAAGGAATAGATGAGGATATTAGGATCAATACAACAACTTGTTTTAGTCTTATTTTTAGCTACAGAGTGGAACACTGAAGCAGGAGGCAGACTTTGTCATGGCTACTTCAGGAGTGTAGAGGGCAGTGAGGTGCATACTCTGCAAATGTGTAAGCCCCTTGAAGAGTGGGTTAGTGATTTCTGACCAGTCTTCAGGTAGTCACGTCTGCAGCTGCCTCTGAGGCAAATGTCTGGGCCCCACCTCTGTAGGATGGGCCCACTCTCTCTTCCCTTTTGGGATGCTCCAGTGTTTCCACCTGGAATTTCTTCTCAGTTTGCCCAGGATACAGATGGGCCCCCAACTGAAATCAGCTGAGGTACCACATGTAGTGTAAATTTAAACCTGCTCTCGTACCATGACAGGACCGTCGGATAGAAGAGCTCACGGGACTGTTGAACCAGTACCTAAGGGTGAAGGAGATTGTTATGGCAACTCAAGGTAAGGAAGGGCAAGCACACCATCTTCCCTGAAAAATATTTTATCTTCTTTATTAAGTTCCAGGACAATTCTGTCAGATTCTTTATCTCCATTTGGAAAAGATCAACTTAAAAAAAAAAATGGAGCATTTAGAATGTCCTCCAATGTAGGAAACTGGCAGTTATTGATTTCTAGAAATTTTGTCAAGTGGTAGTCAGCTCAGAATTTCTAGAGGCTATCCAGATCACCAAGAAAATAAAGGCTTCAACTTTGCCCCTGGGAATTCCCACCCTTGAAGGGGCTCCTACACATCTTCTCAGGATACTCCTTAGAGACAGAGTGGAGTCAAACCTGGATCAGAAATTAATCCATGTCCTTGTTGGGGATTAGAGCTCATCTACCTCTTAGAAATTTAGAGCTCCTGAAAGACTCACAGGGCACCTGGAAGCCTTCCTTGAGTTGCCTGGTACCCAGGTTGCCAAGTCACGGGATACCGAGCAGACAGGACACATGTTCACTGTGAGTAATTCTATCCATGGAACGGCCCTTGGGCTTGAGGGAGAGAGTGGAAGGGAACAGAGTCTATGGCTCAGGCCTGTGTTCTGGTCATGGGCAGCTTGATAAGACACTGGAACTTTCCAGAGTAGGACTTTTCCTTTTTAATCGGAGAAAGCTGTGGATTTCCCATTTGCCGCCCAGACTGATATATGTAGGCAGCATCTGTGTTCTTTTGGGCACAGTGGTATACTGCTAGGCTACCTGCCTTGTCACACATGCCATTGATCTGGACTCTGATTACCTGCCGAAGGAACTGTTTCTCAAGAAAGATTTTTCAAGGTGTTTAGGAACCTCTGATTCTGACTAAGGTGTTGCCTCTTCATAAGAAGGAACAAAGCCTTGTCGCTGCCCTCGGCATCTACAAACCCTCACACAAATGTTGCAGCCCTCTTTTCTCGTCTTCTTTATGATCGTGGGCCAAGGCATTTTCAAGGCCTGATGGCCCATGACCAAGAAAGAGGTCAGTTGGAGGCAAGGGGGTACCTCACCTCTGTTCCAGGGATCAACTTTGATCTTGAAATGACCTTCATGACAGCCCTTGCTTGTGCAAATGCCTTAAGAATTTTCCAAATCATATTCTTGATTTCCCTTTATATATTAATGAAGGAGAAATGATGATAGGGTTTTGTGGTACAATTAAAAGTTTCTGAGCAATTCACACAGCGATTGTCTTAGTTCCTTTTCTATTGCTGAGACACAACCCCAGACACCCACAGCTTAGAGGAAGAAAGGTTTATTTTGGCTCACACTTTTAGTGGGTTCATTCCATGGTCAGCCAGCTCCAAGGCGGAAATGGTATGGTGAGAGGACTGGCAGGGGAGAAAAAGCTACTCACTTCATGATAGCCAGGGAGCAGAGAGCAAAGGGAGGAGTTGGAGAGGGAGATAAACCTTTCCAGTTCACGCCCCTAGTGACCTACCAAGCCCCACTTCCTAACAGCAAGTAAGCTGTGAATCAGTTGATTAATCCACTCTTGAGCATAGCACCCCATGATCCAGTCGCCTTCCAAAAGCCTACCAGTGAACACCTCTGAGGGTTTTGCAGGGCATCCTAGATCTAAACCGTAACAGTGATGATCTACTCCTTCTGCATTAATCCGTCTAGAGCCTTCCGAGAGAACTCTCTCAGTCAATGAAGAAGAACTGGAGGGAAGGTTCAGAAAGTGGAACGCTGCAAATAAAGGCCCTGAAGAATTATTAAAACAAGAGGTATTGCATTTCCATGCACAGTGTGGGGTTGCAGCAGCCCCCAGAGCATGCCCTTAGCCTGGAGGGAGATCTAGTCAGGCACCTGTCGAGTACACATGTTCACTGTGAGTAATTACATGCATGGAACAGCCCTCAAGCTTGAGGGGAGAGGGGAGGGGAGCAGAGGCGGAGGCTCAGGCCTCTGTTCTGGTTCGCAGCAGCTTGATAAAACCCTAGAACACTGAGGGGTAGGACTTTTCCCTTGTTTACTTTTGTCTTTTCTCTCTGGAATGTAAATGGAGGCCAAAGACTGTGTTTGTTTTCGTTTACCACTATTTCTCTAGAATCTGCAATGTCTGATGAAGAGAATTCAGCAAATATGTGTTAAGAGATACCTTCAGCTTCTAAAGTGATACATTCCTGTTTCACAGATATCTCTTCAACTCCGGAGTCAGCACCCAGATCTCCCTTCTCTTTGATTTAAAAATCTGGTCCTATCATATGGATCTCTCTGTGCTTAGACTCAATATAAATGAACAAACAAACACATGAACACAGACCTCAGGTAGAAGACAGACTTTGGCCTTGGGGCCCGGAGATTCATGAATTTCCAGAACAGTCATACGGAAAAGGATTTTAGAGTCCAGCTTAATCCTTTGAATTAAGATCACACAGTGAGCCTGTTACTAAGTCAGAGGAAGAACCCCACATTTCTGGAGGTGACAAAACAGCAGAAACCAGGACTCACTCAGCACCTCTGTGGTCACTGTGATTCGTACTCTACTTGGGTCACCTGTTTACTCCAGATGGTACTTCATTGAATCCTTAGTGTACTGCAATGAATCTGAGGATTAAAGCGTCCAAATAATGTACTCCAAGTATTGTCACACAATAGATGGCAGAACCTGAACTCCAACCTAGATCTACCTGACCTCAAAACCCAGCTGTCTTATAATGCTGGGGTTCTTGTCATAGTAAATAAAAGGACTCTGGGCTGCAGGGGAAAGAGACTCTCTTTGCAGTCAGTACAGTGCCAAAGACACCCCTGTTAGCTCATGCTTGTGCCCCTGAGGTGCTCTTTCCTTTCTGCCTTCATGGTGAGCTCATTCTCACTCCTCAAGATGCAGCTCACATGTCCTCCCCTCTGAGGCCTTCTAAATACTCCCCGAGCCAGAGGGAGCCCTGCCCTTCCTTCTGTTCCCATATGTGCTGTAGGTATCGGTGCCACAAGGACAAGTGGCAGCTTTTATCCTTGCATAATTGTCTGCCTTCCAGCTGAGGGGCGTGCTTGCCCCTTGCCTGGCATAGGATGGCAAGCAATAGACATTGCTCATGTTTCTTAAGTGACTGTATCATAAGCATTTCCCCTTGCCAGCCACAGAATTTGACAGGTTAACCTAAGTCAAAAGGGAATGCTTTTGAAAGGATGTATAGTGACTCAGAATGAAAGGAAAAACTGGAGAGCCAAGCTCAGAAAGGGCAGGAGTGGCAAAAGCCTAGGGATACCATTTTCAGGATTTTACTGCTACAATAAGAACTTAATCTAAGCTTTGGGGTTTAGAAAGGAAAGGCAAGTTATTATTATGCCTACCCTCTTGGCATCTTCAAAGAGCAAGGTGTCCACTTTGATGTATCTACCTTGACTATACCCAGGGGTAAATATATGGCTCCCCAAAGGAATCATCCAAAAAAGAGGAAGGGATTGTCCCCAAATATTAACTTTCCTCTCCATTGTCCCTTCTTCTTTTGATGCAGATGCCTCCAAAATGCAGCTCTCCCAAGGTGGGGCCTCCTCCTCTGCCACAGAAATCACTGGAAACCAGGTAGGAGACTTGAACATCTACCAAGTGTCTCTGTGCTCACAGGTCCTTCTTGGAGTTCCTGAAATGGATGAAAACTGGCCTCATGTGCTGAGCATAGTCACCATGCCCTGGGGACACCCAACCTTCCATTGTCAGGGCATCACCAACCAGGCCTACCTCTCCTGGCCACAGAGGGGCTTCCCTCACAGGCTGAGCTCTAGGTCATTGTCACTGATAAAAGACCTGGCCAGAGGTCTTGGAGCCTCAGAGAGGAGGTGGCTACAACTCATCCATGCCTTCCAGAGGCTTCTTGGAGTTGAGAGGATGTGTTTCTGTCACTTCCACCTGCCCCTTTGAAATGTTCTTGGGATGAATTGAGTCCTTTGACCATCCAGGCATTGTAGGGAGGGCCATTTCTTCTCCCTGGGAAGTTAGTCCAATTGCTTTGGTAATAGTGCACTTATACTGGGTCAGCCTATAGGGTCACTGGCTACTACCTGGATAGTTCCTCTAAAATTAACCCATTTCTAGATTGCTACTCCTACTCCCTACTCCTTACAACGTGTTTCCAAGTTTAGATCCATGTGAAGAAGACATGGAGACATCACCACCATGGACATGCTCCAGCCAAGGTGTCTGAGGAAGATGGCTACAACATGACAGAAACTTCCCCAAGATAGTGCTAGAATCTATACTGTCAGAGCCCAATTTCTGGAGAACAGTTGTTCTCCCAAGGTTTTAACCCCATTGAAAAATGCCAGTATCTGAGAGGATGATTGCCCAGTCCTAGCTTTTGTAGAACAAGAAATTTAGTTTATAATTCATTTGGGGAATTAACAATGAGGAACTCATACTGAACAGACTCACAAAAAACTAATATAGAAATAAATGCTTATTTATTTCTACAGATTAAGAAATATGACTGCCCAGGAGACTTAGCACCAGGTTATGCTTGGGAGCACTGATGGCAGTGCCTCTTCTCTCCCTTTGGTCCCGTATCTGCAAAATAGCCCCTGTGAAAACAAAATTCCTCTGAGCAGACTGCTCAGTGTGTGCAGATCCAGAGCTGGGCTGGAGGATTTAAGCAGTGATGCTCTGGATTTGTGGCTGGCTGGTATTTTTGTCTCCACTCTGAAAGGACACCAACTCCTTCCTCCTCCATCAATCTTAACCTCACAGACAAGCCAGCATCAATGCTTTTCCTGTCCTTTGACTCTGCAGACATTGGTCTTCTGTGTAAGCCAGAGGCAGTGACTTTCCATCAACGCAACAGAATTAAGCGTACTCTAGCTTTTTGAACAATGTCTAGGACTTTCTGTTGGGATCTAAAGGCCTCACCAACATGTTGTTGGACCAGGGTACTTCCCAAGGTGGGCCAGTCTGTCTTATATACTGGCTACTATGAAAGGGTTGATTTTTTTGTTTTTTACTCTAAGCCCAAGACAGACCACTGATTAAGCACATAGACTGTCCTCTGCATGTTGATAGCATGCACCTCCTTCTCTAGTAACTGTTTCTTTACTTTGTGTTTGTCTAGGGCTCAGAAAAAGCTCTCCTGTAGTCTAGAAGACTTGAGAAGTGAATCTGAGGATAAGGTCAGTCATAGCCTACCCATAAAGATTACTGAGTTACTTCTCTGGGCCCATCACAGTGCTAGGGTATGCAGATGAATCCTGGTCCTTGCCTTGGAGAGGCACTTACACAGTTGCTGGGGAGGCAGAATTACATGAACATTTTTAGAAAAACAGATAGGCTGGCCCAAGGCAATCTTGAGACAGGACCTTCAGAAAATGCTGGCTGGAGTTGATGAGTGTGTGTTTATGGTGGGCAAAGACTTGTTAAAGTCTGGCGGATCCTGGCAGGTTTTGGAAAATGGTGGAGAGCAGGAGAAGGTTAAGTCAGAGCCACGCATCAGATCAAACCAGAGATCTTGACCATTGGCCCTGTCTTCCCAGGGCACTAGGCATTGTTGCAGAAATTCCGAATGAAGAAGTAATGTGGATAAAGGAGATGATCCCAAGAGTCAGAGATGGAGCATCTTAGAAGATTGAGAGGCAGCTTTTTTAAAAGACTAGAGAAGATATGAGGAGGGCTTTGTGGCCCCTTATTTGAGGATAGCCCTTGACCGTGGGTAGACCCTATGCTGGAGAATGATCCTGGGCTCTTGAACTTAGCTAGGGGAAAACAAGGAATCCTGTCCTGATAGAGCCTCCAGCAAGCCATGGTGTGTATTATTTCCTGGACTCCAGCAGAGTGCCCAGCTCCCTGGAGATAGTGGAGATCCATAAATGCTAGAGTTGGCAGGAGCCATGGGGTTTCTTCAGTTGGCCATGTGCTTCTTGCTCCCCTGGTCAGATTGTTAGCAGCCACCCAAGATATCTATCCACAGTGTTGGACAGGGACCTGTATTTGTTGCCATGGATGATGATACTTGAGGTGAAGGGATGTGTGTGTGTGTGTGTGTGTGTGTGTGTGTGTTCCTTTCAGATATAAGCAGACAGGTAGTCCTGAGATTTTGTTTGTGACTAACACTGGTTTCTTTTTTTCCACACAATCAAAATCCTTGTCACTCCCTAGTGTGTCAATGGGAACCAGCTCTCTCCTATGGCAGAACCCAAGGTATGTTAACTTCATGTCTCTCGCCTAACAGTGGTGGTACTGCTTCCTTGTTTTTTTAGCAAGTTATAGCTCTGGCACCATAAAACATGTTAACCATAAAGTGTAAGAGGGCAATAAGAAAATTCTTCCTCCCATTATATGTTTATGTGCACTCATATCTATAATGTGCTTTTACTGCCATTACTTGTGGAATAGGAGTTATTAGCATCACCTCCATGTTATAGACTTGAAGAAGTCAATCTTTAATAGTGCAATCTAGATTTCATTGATGAGAAGGGAGCTAGCTAGAGTGATCCTAGCACCCAGTAGGGTGTGATGGCTCTCATCCTTTCTATGCTGATGTGTCACAGTTAACAAACGCAGGAGGACATAAGTCCCCCTTTAATGAACAAGCTGTGTTATAAAATTCCATTAGAACTGATTTTCTCCCAGGAAGCCTGTTGTGGAGGTTAATTAAGTTTCCAGATCAGTGCACAAATGTTAAGCCCATAATGAACTGAAACTTTGTATAATTAGCATGATTTCAGCCACACCCAAGCACCATTGGTAGCATCACACAGAGCACGTGCTGGGCATGGCCCTTCTCTGTCTTCTGCTTTCCCTGTGTTGGCTTTGGCCTAAGAGGGTTGTTTTTATGTATTTTCACCAATATGACAGAATGGGGCATCTCTGCCCTTCACACTGTGTAAGACCAAGATCTTGTCCACACCTCTGCCTGGAGCAAAGGGGCTTCTTTGCACTTTCACATGTGTAGCAGTTGGTGCTGCAATTAGGCATCCATTCCTTGGGCCATCTGAACTGTAGAGCAAAAGTCTTCTGCTTGCCCTGCCCCGCCCCGCCCCGTCCCTGTGCTTTGGATACACAGTCCCTTGATCCTGGGGTCACTGGCCCCTCAGCAAAAGCCTTGGGGCGGAGACTGCTCTGTGACATTTTCCTGCCTCAGCCTCACAGAGGTAGTTCATAGATGTTTCTAAGTAGACATGGAAGCATCTGTCTGCCCCTTTGGAAACACAGATAGCTCATGGGCTCAAACTTGAAGACATGGATTTGATTACCATGAAATATGAGTGATGTGAGATTTCTTAACGAAGAGAAAAATATAAATATTCCAGATTAAAAGTTTGATTCTAATATAGCTTTGACCATAATCAATAATCTTTTGCAACTCAGTTCAACATGGCCACATCTTTAAACACACACACACACACACACACACCAACCAGATTCCCAGGGGGAGTTAACAAGTGCAATAATCTTTCTGTATCAGTGTCCTCTCACCCTGGCCTTGCTTCAGCTGGCCCTTGCATCCTGTGACTGAACATGTTACATGGTAAGACCTCCTTGTGTGACTTTCCAGCCCTGAGTGTTAGACATGTCTTCTGAACTTCCCCAGAATTACATCCCCTGGTCTGGCTCTCCCAGGCTATGAGTCAATCTTCCCTACTTCTGACAGCTCTAGAATTAATTTCCTCCAGCTCTCTCCAAGTACTCTGCTGTCTGTGCTGAACATCTCCCCATGTGCATGGACCACCAGCCTGAAAAGTACAAGTTTCTCAAAGGCTTCTTTAAACTGTGCCCGGGGCCTCACTTGGGTGTGATTTCTAGATGCCATCTGACCCAGGCCTTCCTTAATCTAGGGGCTAGTGTAATAGATTACTGTCACTGTAGAAGTCAACATTTGATATTTTCCATGCTTCTGTTTGTCTGCTACCCACTGTGTGCTAGTCGCTGTGCTTAATGTTGCTTCACAGTAATTCAGAGGCAGGAATTGTTAATTCACTACTGTGTTGAGAAACTACCAAATGGAGGTTCTAGAAGTTGAAGAGAAAAGCATTGGGCTGTTTCCATCTGGTCTGGGGGGTTTGTGATGACCCAGCCAAAAACCTGTTTTGAGAGCCCTTTGCTGTCCCATATTTCATGTGTGATATGGAATAGGAGTCATTCCTTGCAGTTCTCTTTGCTTTTTGAACACTGCCTTCCCACGGTCAGTGTTTCCTGGGGCTGACTGTGTATCAGAATAATCTCAGACGCTAGTTAAAAATACAGACTCCTGGGGTGTGCTCCAGAGGGGTTGAATCACGGGGCTGGGAAGGCAGCAGGGATTGCATGTTGTTTTTGAAGTGCTCCAGGTGAGTGTGAAGCAGCCACCATATGAACCAGCACTGGGGAACTGTTGATCTTGCCTACATGTCTGATCACATCCACCCTCTGTCTTACAGGTCATCACAAGCATGAAAATCTTAGTCTTCATCTCTCAGGGTTCTAATTACTTCTACTCACTGGCCAGTTTTTCCAGAATTCTTAAAGAATTTAGTTTCTCTCCCTGAATCTCTTCGTTCTGAATCTGTTTTGAGGGGATTATTGTCAATGTTCAGTAAATGAACTGAATTTTGAACAATTTCTAGGACATGTGATTATAAGCAAAGTGAACTTGGAAATGTATTGGTCACTTGACTTAGCTAAATGAAGCTTCAGAAGATGTCTCCATCACAAGTTTCTCATTAAGGTTCTGACTTTGCCAGTCTCAAAATCTGTTTTTTCTTTCATGCTACTTTTCTTCTGGGCCCAATCAAGTGATCCACAGTTGATTCCCTCAGTAATGTTACTTCAGTTTCTCTCTCCTTTTTTTCTCTCTTGCTCTGAGAATACATTCCACTTTGCTTCCCTCAGGTTTGCAGACATATGGGTCATTGTATCCTTTTCAACCAAATAAATTCTATTCTTCTTTCTTGTTTAATCAACTTGTTTCTTTGGGGCTCTGTATGGCCAGGATCCAAGTATGGAGCCAATTGCACTGAAGCTGTATTTCACACAGTTCCTAAGGGAATTCTGTGTTGGCACGTAGCCATTTCCTGCTGTCATCTTCCCCAAGTGTGTGTGTACCTGCTTGCCTTGCCTTAACATGATGTTTTTCAAAAGAACTATTATCACAATATAGTCTTGATTGATTGATGATTGATTGACTGATTGATTGTAACAGGGTCTTGCTGTGTTCCAGGCTGGCTTCCAACTTTTTCTGTAGCCTAGGCTGGCCTTAAACTCGAGAATCTCCTGCCTCAGCCTCCCAGAATGCTGGGATTATAGGCATGCATTACCACACCTGGCTCAAACTTTTTCTTTTGTTGCTTCAAATTTAAACTCTAAATCTCCTCTTGTAGCATAGGTTTCTCTTAGTAAAGATCCACATAATTTGTGTACTTGGCCAAGCTCCTGCAGAGTTCTGCCCTAGCCTGGTGTGAGTGAAGGTCCTACTTAGTTAAAGCGCCCCTTTACTAATCACTAAAGGAAGTCTGGGAGAACAGGGAAACCCAGCCCAGACTGACCTCAGTCTCCTCACTTTCAGAGTGTATGTGTGTGCGTGTGTGCGTGTGTGTGCGTGTGTGTTTAAGTATGTATATTCAAACATACATATATGAGATAAGGCACTAGGTAGCAAATTCTAGCAAGGGGTCATTTATGGCTGTTAATTCAGTGAGCCTCTGAACGCTAGGCCATATGGCAAAGGTCCCCCTTTCCAAGACACGTCTATTTTTCTACTTCCTGCTCAGAGGCAGTTACACTCAGCCCTGCACTGGGGCTTTACTCTCTCCCTGTCTCACTCTGTGGACAGAGTTCTTCTTTCCTCAGAACTCTGGTCTGCTTTCCTGACATAGGCTGAATGGTTTTTGTGCAGTCTTGGAGTCAAGATAAATGGTAAATGATTGTGGGAGAACAGGAAACTGTGTAACCAAGGATTTCCTGAGGAGAAATGAGTTTGAGTTTGAGTCTGAGGGTTGATTCAGCATCTCTCCATCTCTCCTTCCAATAGGACAGCCCTTTTCTGGTGGAGCAGAAATATCCGACATTACCTGGGAAGCTTCCGGGAGCCACACCCAATGGAGAAGCTGCCAAATCTACTCCCACCGCCTCCCAGCCTGACCCCTCAGGGAGCAACCTGCTAAGGCTGAGTGAGTGTCTCACCCGTGACACTTTCAGTCACTGTACCAGATACCTGCACCCAGCACTGCCACCCACAGTTGAGAATGGTGGGGGTCAGGAGGTCCTGGAGCAAGTTGCACCCCACAGTAGACCCACTTTTAAAGGTTGTACCCTACAGTATAGCCCAGGTAAGCTGTTTCCTAAGGTCAGTACTTCAGAATCTCCCCCCGCCCTGCAAATAAACCCCCAAACAGGCTATGTATGCACCCTATTTTTTCTAGCTGCAGTTATTCACCTCATTTTTTCACCTTCCATTTCTCTTCTCAACTATTTGTCCTTCCTTCCATTCCCCTTTTCCCTTCCACCCTTCCTATCCCTCATTCTTCCTCTTCCATATCATTTTCTCTCTTCTGTCTTCGCCTTCTCTGTAGCCTTTCTGTTACCAGTAGGATGATACTCTAGGCTCTTCAAAGTGAGAGCACTTCCTTAGGCAAATGGAGGAAGTGGCCAGGGGACAAGGATATCAACCCACAGGCATCCTTTTGGAGGGTGGGACCTGAAACCATTTGGCCTTTGCTCCATTCCAACAAGATAAACTATCTTTCCCCAAAAGCAGCCACAGAGGGAATGCGCTAGTCCTGGCAGCATTCTTGCTGTCTTGATCCTCTGCCTGCTGTTCTGTGAACCAGCCTTCGAATCGTCTCGTGAAGGCCAGTTCTGCTCAGGGCAGCAGCTCCAGACAAACCCTTACATGTGTGTTCAGTAGTCTCAGTCTGGACACTCAGCGGCTTCAGATCATTCTGGTCTGAGTGAGCCCAGGCATATGAGAGCTGCGTGTGGCCCTCTGTTCAGCCCCTGTTGCTCCCTCCTCCACCCCTACGTGTGGACACCTCAGTCTTCCAGGAAGCAGCACCGGGAACATTTGGCCCCTCGAGTGAGGCTCTGTCTCAATTCTCTGACACTGTGCTCATGGCTTAGTTTCTATTTACCGCTCTTCTTGGAAATATTTTTTTCTTTCTGTTTGAGTTTTTCTCTCTTGTTTGATGACACTCTTTTGTTTATCTCTTTGCTTCCCTGTAACTCTCTTGGGCTGGACTTTGGCCTCTCTTGTTTCTTCATGTGGCTTCTCTGCTTCTTGGTTGGCTGGAGATCATGGCCGGAGTGTCAGTGCCCCTGTATTAGGTACTGTACCTGTTCCAGGTGAGGTGGGGAGTGAAAATGCTTTCATTCCCTGTTCCCCCTAACTCACCTCCCCTCCCAAATTCTCAATGATGCTCCCCCTCTTGCCTGAATTCCTGCATCTGCCTCTGACGGAAGAGAGCAAGCACCTTATTGAATAACCCATAAGTACTTGGACCACAAACTCTTAGAATTCGAAGACATTAGTTTATCCAGATTTGAAACATTAAGCTTACTAATTCCTTAACAAGAGAGCTTGGAATGTGCTTGAACCTCACTGGCCTCTGGGATTTTGCTGTGGCACTCTGCCCTAAAGGCAGAGCTGGGCAGGGCCGTCAGGACTACCTCAGAAGGATGGTCCTGGCTTGGAGAGGAGGGTTCTACAGCACACTTCTTACTCCCTTTATATTTCATGTCTTCCTTTCAACCTCAGGAGACACAGAAAGTGGTTGGGAAGATACTACCATGGCCAATGACATCTCATCCACCTCATCGGGTACTGAATCCAGTCCCCAGTCTCCCCTGACACCAGATGGTAAACGGAGCCCCAAAGGCATCAAAAAATTCTGGGGAAAGTAAGTTGATGGTGATGATCATAATCATACTGCTTGGTAGAAAGTGAGTTGGTGATGATCATAATCATATTGGTTAGACTTAATCTCCTCTTGACCTAGCAAAGAGTCTGTGTAAACCCCTGGTTTATCCAACATTGAGACAACTATAAAAACAGAGCAGTCATGTTCAGAGAATTTGAATTGTTTTTCAGGGCCCAGAGAAGAAAGTTGAGATATACTCATTAAGTACAGCCAGTTGCCTTACCTGTGCCCATTCTAGGCATCTATCTATCCCACACATCTGGTCACATCCTGTGCAGTTTGTTTGGAAAAGACATAGGTGAAACTGGGCTCTTCCTTCTTAGCGGTTAGTCTGTGTCTTGAGAAACCTCTGAAGACAGCTGAGTACTTGCTGGCCACAGTGATCCAGTCTGAAATAGATAGCAACTAGAGACTCCTATGAAGCATCGTCCTTCCCTTTGTCCCTCAGGGGGAGTTGACCAAACCCTAGAGGAAGCTTAGAATTGAGGCTGAGAACTGGCCAAGGAACTGTCTCGGGTTGTGTTCCTTCATCCATGATCTTTGATCTCCAGAGCCCTGTGCCTGGCTTTGTTGCAAAGGAAGGGTACACTGCCTCTGGGCTCTCACATCCCCTGACAGTGTCTGTGGATTCCTCTCCACACAGAATCCGAAGAACCCAGTCAGGAAATTTCAACACTGATGCACCAGGGATGGTGGAGTTTCGACGAGGTGGGCTTCGGGCAACTGCAGGGCCAAGACTCTCAAGAAGCAGGGACTCCAAAGGACAAAAATGGTAAGGCTCCCTGCAGTCTACACATTGCTGTGTGAAATCCTGGCCAAGGTAGGATGGGGGTAGGGGTTAAATGTGCCAGAACCTCCAGAGATGGAAGGCAAGAGCTCTAGTCCAGAGCTTCAGAACTTGTCCCATTGACACAGGTAGATACTGCTTGTGCTCGGAAGTGCTCAGGTCAGAGGAAACAAGGGCTGCCTAAAGCTGGGGTGGCTGGGGTGTGAGGGCCCCGGCAACTCTGTACATCCATAACTCACTCTCAGGAGTGCCTTTGCACACTGGACTGAGAGGCTCTCTTGCAGTCATATAAGACACAGATTCTAAAATTCTAGTCCTGAGTCTCTAGCTGTGAGCCCTAAGCTAATTGATATAATACCTCTATTCCTCCACTTTTTCATTTGTAAAAAGGGGCTCAAAAGCAAGTATTTTATTAAAGTTCTTGTGAGGATTACATGAGCTATTGTTCACTAACCCAAGCATCAGCTGTCTGCCACTCAGGGTTCACCATCCTCTAGTCTGTGTGAAAAAAAGAACTTCATTTCTTACCCACCTGTGGGCCAGCCTCACCCTTCTGCACACTTCGTGAGAGGATGTGGGTAGAGCAGGCTGGATCCGCCATTGTCCTTCATGATCACTCCGCCAGACTTTACTGAAGGGTAGTAACTAAAGGGGGCTGCTAAGGCATGGGTAGCACTGGAATAAAAATGGTGAGTTTCACAGGACTGTCTCCATCGTGCCATTGTGAATAGGTATGGAAAACATTAAGCTTTTCCAGAGGTGTCCCTAGTAGAGACCCTCCAGTTGCTATCCTTACCCACTTTCCTTAGCTCTTCCTGCTCTGAGGAAGAATGGCTGTCTTCAAACTTGCATAGGTGAATCCTTACTCCTGCATTTAGAGGAAACACTCTCTTCATATCAGGTGTCCCTGTCATACATCACATCCAACAGAACTTCTCCTTAAGTCTGAGCTGAAGTCTACTTCTGGGGACCTTCTGCAGGACCAGATTGCCCCTTTTAAAATCTAACTACAAGGTGAAAAGTAAACTCTTTGAAGTTTAGTGTCCTCCAGATTGCCAGGCACCAGTGTGAAATATAAGTAACTACTGGGTGAGACATGTACAGCTCAATATTAATCCCTAGACATTGTGCAGTCTAGATTCTAACTAAAAGAGAAGAATATTTCCCTAAATGCATCCTACTCACTCACAAACCTGCTTCCCCTGAGGAAGGGAGCCTTAGTTTATTTTGCACATGGAAGAGATACTCCTCTGCTGGCCTGCCATTCTCAGGTTTCAAGGCTTTGCCAAATCTTCCTGGTGTTTGAGACACAGGACTTTCCAAGATCCATCTGTGCTTTGGTGGGTGTCCCCAGAACTATTTTATACTCCAGGGTCTTGAAAAGAAATGTGTGAATGTATAGACCTGCTGTGCATATTCCCCCAGGCCCCAGGCCCCAGGAGGGTGGTGTTGATGCCTTTAGCCACAAATGTAAATTCTCAGTAAATGTCAGGAGTCTAGGGAATCTGAGGACAGGGTCTGAGAAGTCAGAGACCAATTCAGGACCGATGAAGGCCCACATATTCTATTCCATAATTAGCTATTCTAATTTACTAGCAATTTTCCTAATTTAGACATTACTGTTGTCTCTGGTTTTTCTGAGATTAAAAAAAATAAAGCTACAGTAAACTTGAATGATTCATCTTGGTTCCAACATGACAGTTTCTTTAAGGATTGACTCTAGAAGGAGAATCACTGGGTCAGGGCGTAAGAACTTTTCTAAGACACTTTGGCAGGAACGACCGCATGGTGAGAGAGCTCACTTACATTCTGCCAGTGACTTAGGGCATGGGGTAACCAAGGTCAGGAAGTTCTCTGCCAAGGGAAAAAACTGCAGTTCTAGCACAGGGCTGCTTTGCTGGAATGTTTTTGTGTTTTGTTAACCATAACAATGGTTAATAAAGGGAATAAGAATGAAGAGGTCTTGATGTGATGGCAGTGTTTATGCCATGCTTGTGGTAACAAAATGAAAATGCCAGTGGAAAAGAAAAGCTGTTATTACCCTCAGGCAGAAATTTGGTATAATTATATGCTGATGCCTTCTGATGTTTATAGTTTGTAGATATTTAAGGCAAAACCTTTTAAAATGTTTTCACTAATATGCTGGTAGGAAAAGTAATTTGTTATTGAAAGCCGCCAGCCCTAATCCTCTTGTTCTGATAATTTTTTAAAGATATGATATTTGACAATAACATTTTGTACACATCTCTCTCAGATTATGGAAAAATGACTCTTATTATCTTTCCCCCCGGATAAAGTTTTTCTGATTTACATTCCAGTCAGCACTGCTGTACAGGGAGACTTATTACCCATACATCCCTGTCAGCATTAAGTATTTAAATTTTTTAAATTTTTAAATTTTTCTACTTCTACAGACTTCCAAAAATTACACTTTTATTGCTAATTTGCATGATAATCATTTAAATTCTTTTTTTGCAACTTGTCTCCATTTTTTTTGCCAATTTTATTTAGTGATTTATGTCTTTCTTATAGACATGTCTGCTCTCCGTATGTTAAGATATTAAACTGTGTCTAATCATTTTGACAGGGCATTCTTAGGCTTGCGGCAGAATTTTACTTTTGTTTGTCATCCTTTGATATGTAGAATTTTTATATTTATATATAATAAGCTTCATTAACTTTTCCTTTGATTTCTTTCATCTTTTTTTTTAAATTTCTATGATTTTTAAAAACCATGTTTAAATAATCAGCTTTATTTTAATATATGAGTGTGTGTGTGTGTGTGCGTGTGTGCGTGTGTGTGTGTGTATGTATGTGTATTTCAAAAAAAAAGGTAATAAAATGTCATGCTTAAGCCAGACAGGTTTTAGAGCTGCACTCTGGGTCTCATCGTTGAGGAGGGCTTTCCTGAGTTGATCTGTGAAGTGTATTGCCCTTCAGGACTATAGTTTTATGAGGGGTCTCTAATCACAGCACTTCCCCACCTCAGATCCCATTTTATTTTCTTTCCCCCCACATTAATCAGATTCATCACAGAATCATATTGATCACAAATGTAAGGAAGCTTCTAGGCCCCTACTTGTATGGTCCCCTTCCAATGTCCAGAGAGGAGCTGCTGATCAATGTGTTGACAATGTCAAGTGTATGGAAAATTTCCTTAAATAATTTAAACACAGCCAATTTCAAGATTGCTGGCCCTTTTGTTCTAGTTTTCCCTTGGCCTTGGTCTACACTTTCCTTCCATCAGATGATGATGGAGTAGCCATGGGGCTTTGGGGGAACTGACTCGGGGATAGTTCAACTGAGAATATATTATCTGTTTCTTTTTTTGTTTTTTTGTTTTGTTTTGTTTTTGAGGTTTTTTTGGTACCGGGAATCAATCTAGGGTCCTTGCACTTGCGAGGCAGATGGTGGAACCACTAAGCTAAATCCCCAGCTCAACTGAGAATATAATTACTTAGGGCTTAGCAGAATATATGTATGTGACTTGCAGTCATTTCATATTTCACTGAGTTAGGTTTAGTTAACTAGCTATCCTAGTGTACAAATGGCTTCCACAATTACTTTTACTTCTCATTTGCCAAGTTGCACAGCATGCTGATGCAGAGATGCAAATAAGAGGTCATGTCCCAGTGTGAATACGTCCTCTGGCACTACATCCAGAAGTGGGGGGCAGTAGGGAACAAAATCATGTTTGAGATACACAAAACCAGCAGTTAATCTGTGGAGATTCTTTTCAGACTTCCGATCTGCAAAATCCCAAGGAGCAGATTTGTTTCTGTTGAATACCTAGTCAAAACAGAAATTCTTTCCTGTCAGGTCTGTACTTGCTAATAAAGTGTGTGCAATTACAAATGTACCCTGTGCTCTCCTCTACCGTGGGAGCATTGATTGTATCTGATAATCGCAATTACATCATTTTAATTATAATTTGGAAAGATGTTTCGGAATGAGTCAGTAAAACACGTGGCTTGGCTGTACATGGAAGATAGTTCCTCTGTCATCGCCAAGTGATTTCTCTCCCATGTTCAGCCATGGCCTGCAGAGGGTATGAGGGTTCCTGACACTGAGAGGATCCGAGGAGGTGCTAGGTCTGGTATTGTGGGAACAGCACAAGTCGGGGGCAGGGGTGAGGGGGTGCACCAAACACTCAATGAGAAGACTGCCGAGATGAGGACCAGAACTCCAGTTTGGTTTGAAAGGTCAGAGGGTTTCAAATTATCATCTTGAAAACACTTTATTTCCCCCTTTAGAATTGAAATGCTTTACTGATATATAAAATATTAATTTCCCCCCAAGTTCCAGAAATGAGAAAATGAATGAAATAAAAGATCTAATCAAATGTGAAATTAAACTGAGAAAAATGGACATTGAGAATTATTCTCACATTAAGAAACAGATTATATATTTAAAAAATGCCAGATCACACCCAAAGCTCTAAAAGCAAGAGATAAATTTCAAACAGAACTAGTAATAGGTTCCTAGGTTGTTTTTCATATAATACAAATCATATGAACACATTGCTAAAAGACCGCAATTTCTTGCTGAGCTTCCCTGATATACCGACATCAACAAAGATAGCATAAAAATAATGCCACCACCACAAAGATGTAGATAACACACTAGTTCTGAGTACTCTCAACTCAATCTTTAAGATTAGCCACAGTACAAGAAAACTTAATGCTATGTAGTTTTACTACTCATATATAAAAGACACTTACAGATTTCCCTAAATTTTAAGCAACGATTCTAAAAGTGTGTCTGGCAATGCCAAGTATAAATTGTGAAGCCAAAACTTTTTTTAAAACTCTCCTAATAAAAAATAAATATTGACACTTGTCCTAGAAGAAAGACTGAATCAATTGGACTTGTGGACACATGAAGAAGTCAAGGAATTTGCACTCAAAAGATTAGAGTGAAAAAGAACTGTAGAGCCATATACAGGGATTAATGAAAATGTTAATTTTTTTCTGGATTTTATGCTTTTTTTTCCTTTGGTTAAATTTGTAATTTTTTGGTTTGCTTTCTCATTCTAAATTTTCAGTAATTTTATGTTCAGATTGTACACTTTCTTGGTGGTATTGGGGATTGAACCCAAGGCCTTGCACTTTTCTAATTTTTATTCTAAGACATGATTTTATGTAGTCACTAAATTGTCCAGGCTGTACTTGAATTTGCAATCCTCCTGCCTCAGCCTCCAGAGTGCTGAGATTATAGGCATGCACCACCCACCATGCCTGGACAAATTTTATGCTTTTCTGAAGAGGATGTCTAAATGCTATAAATTCCAGTCCTTATAAAACCTGGGTCTGGACCTATTTGGAACCCATTAAAACATGGGCTCCAGGCCAGAAGTGGTCAGTGTCTACCCCGGGGCAAATGTCATCCCTAGCAAGTTGCCATTTTGGCCCTCTACGGAAGTCCCTCACTTTAGAAATAGCTTGCCCAGGCATTCAAAAACAATTTTTTTGTTTTCTGCATTAGGGGTAGAGTCAGCCTCTGTATCCAGGCTGTTCCTCATCTCTGGGTTCAGTGGAGGTTGGAAATATATAGAATTTTGTTCTTGTCATTGTTTCCTAACAGATATTTACATTGTATTAGCATTGTGTTAGGCATCATACATAATCTAGAGATGATGGGATATGGGAGGATGTGTGTAGGGTAAGTGTATTATTCCATATTGTATAAGGCACTTGGGCATCTTTGGGTTTGTGATCAGCAGTGGTCCTGGAAGCAATCCCTCATGGATGCCAAGAGACTGCTGCATTTTTCTGGAATAGAATCTTTTGGAATACTTCATCTTCCACATTCCATAAATCCCCATTTATTTTTAGAAATGAATATAAAGTTGCTTGTCCATCCTCACAAAGGCTCCATTGGGGTTTTGAGAGTGCCATTATATTCACACTTTAAATTAAAAATTGATGTCGTTAAGAATGGATGGCTTTTAATACCTGGTCTCCTTGTCTAGAAACATGATCTGATTCTTCATTTATTCATGTCTTAGGTTGCTCAGTTGAGTTTTGGAGATACCACATCACCCTACTCTACCCCGCATCCTCGTACACAGTCACGCAGGGCCCACACATTCCTTGTGAAGGCAATTCCCAGATAATCTGTAATTTGGTTGCTATGGATAGAAGGCATTAGTATTTGTGTGTGAATAGTATATAGAAAATTGTTGATTTTACATGTTGTATATATATGTATGTGTATTTTATTACTAGCCACCTTACTAAGCTTTCTTGAGTTTTCTAGGTGGCAATCATATCATCTGAAAATAATTGTTTTCTTTTGTTTCCACCTTTCTAATAGCTATATTTCTTACTTTTATTTTTATCACTTCTTCTTCTGTACACACCTCTCAGATCAGAGTTATCAGTATGTACTGATAAAAATATATATTGTCTTTATATTGATTTTAATATGAATGTGCCTGGTATTGTGTTAATAAATAGGTATTAGTTGTTTTCAAATAGAAGGTTTTTGTTTGGGGGTTTTTTTTTGTTTTGTTTTTGTTTTTCATGTTAGAGAACTGATCGTCTTTTCCTAGTTTTCTAAATATTTTCCTAAAAATGGTACTGACTGTTGTGGACAAAATGATTTCATTGTGGACGTTCATCTTAAGGGGCCACATCCTCAGCTTGCAGCGTGTGGCTGTGTATGTGGACATGTGGTCAGAAAGCAGTGTCCTGGGGGTCAAATAGGCTGCCCTATGCTCCACATAGTTGCATTGAAACTCAGACCATGCTATCAAGGAGACTGTAGATTCTACCTCACTTGAGTGGGTTGCTGTGAAATTTCATTCAACTACATCCTATGATCATCTAGGTTGTTTGTTGAAAGTTCCTTTTTTAGGGGGCTTTATTATATGCAGAACCCCAGGCTCTCCACTGACAAGAGCACACTGTTTCCTTGCTTCCCAGTGATGCCAATGCCCCTTTTGCCCAGTGGAACACAGAGCGCATATGTACATGGCTGGAGGACTTTGGACTGGCTCAGTACGTGATCTTTGCCAGGCAGTGGGTGACATCTGGCCACACATTACTCACAGCTACTCCTCAAGACATGGAAAAGGTAAGGGCTAGGCATGGGATGAAAAGGCTCCCATTTCTCCCTAGACTGATGCGCGGGGACCAGCATTTGGGGAGGTGAGACTCGCCCCACCCCCACCCTATGTGGGACGGAAGGCTGACATCCCCCCTGTAGCGGCAGGTTGGCATCCCAAGGCATTGTGCAGAAATCCGCCTCCACCCTTTCAGGGCATCTCCACCCTGACATGACATCCTCCGAGGACCAAATTGCCTGCCAAAATTTCACATCTGGTCTTCATCTTTCAATTTCAGGAGCTAGGAATTAAGCACCCTCTCCACAGGAAGAAGCTGGTTTTAGCAGTAAAAGCCATCAACACCAAGCAGGAGGAGAAGTCTGCACTGCTAGACCATATTTGGGTGACAAGTAAGGACAGGCAAATATGGATTAAATATGTTTTTGGCAGCTCCTAAAGGCAGAAAGAATTTCCATGTGGAACGTGTGCCTCAAAGACAGATGTCTACTTGTGAAAGGCAGATGGATTACTAAACCTTTTGGAGAATAAAACTGGAACCCCAAATCATAATTTGCTGGGGGATTTTCTTGGCATCCCTATCCTACTATTCTCTTGAATCGCAACACCTCTATTCTTTCTGTATTTGTAGGGTGGCTTGATGATATTGGTTTACCCCAATACAAAGACCAATTTCATGAATCCAGAGTTGATGGACGAATGCTGCAATACCTAACTGTGGTGAGGATTTTCTCTTTAAATATTTTAGTTGTTGCTGTGAGTGTTCAGCTCAGATGTACCTGTGGTGGTTATTTTAAACCTGATTCCACCTCCTTCTTCAAATTCTTAAAGCCTTGAAATAGTATCAGTTGTCACATAAGAGGTCCCAAATGGTGAAGTATAAAGCATTGTGATAAAAGAATCTGTTGGTGTGTTTGTCTGCACCTTTCTGACATGTGAAAGGTTTGTCTGTTTGGCCATGGAAGAAACTCTGGGGTCTTTTGTCACTTTGGAAGCTCTGGTTCATCAGCCAAAACTTTTCTCTTCCAGAATGATCTACTCTTCTTAAAAGTCACCAGCCAACTGCATCATCTCAGCATCAAATGTGCCATTCATGTGCTGCATGTCAACAAATTCAATCCCCACTGCCTGCATCGGCGGCCAGCTGATGAGGTAAGGGCAGGAGAGCAGCTATGTAGGCATCCTGCCCCAATCCAGGAGAGCAGCTATGTAGGCATCCTGCCCCAAGCCAGGACATCTGAAACACTGCTTGTGAGAATGTCAGAATGACATCATTGCAAATAGCTTCATTTCAGTTTATGGTGTTTGGGATTCTGGTAGCCAAAACAACCCTGTTGCCTGAACTTTTGGCCCATGGTAACCACTAAACTTCTGATCTCCCACCTTCCCCTAGGGAGACAAATAGTGTGGGCAAGAGGGCAGTGGAAACAAGTCTTTTCAAAGTCATCATAGGAGAAGATGTTGCAGAGGAAAGAAGAAGGGAAAGACAGGATGGAAAGATGGTGTCAGAGTAGCAGAGAAGAACCAAAGGAGGAACAAGGAGCCCATAAGGAATCAGACACTTCAGAACAGATTTCCCTACTTGTAGATACAAAATTAACAAACTTCCAGGCCCAGATACACAGGATTCATGAGCAAGTCTTGCTAGAGGAGAAATTATGCAGGCAAACACAGCAACGCAAATCCTGGGGAAGTTCCTGATATGTTCCATGAACCTCAGAGTTCTTGACGGGTCTCAAACTGTGTCAGTCACAGCTCACTCCTCTGTCTAATGCCACTTCCAGATGGATTAAACAACTCATGCCTCTGTTCTCCATCTCCTCGTCTCTTGCTATTCAACAAATATATTTTGCATACTTCTCTTGTGTCAGGGACAGAATAGCATTTTGAAGCCCATGGGCCATGTGAGAGCACTTACGCATAAGTATCTTCATTTGTGCTCCACTAAAATGTTCAGCCACACCAGGAACATTTTTTTCCATAAACCACTTGGCTCATAATTCAAAATTCTGTTAAATCCCTGAATAAAAACCTATATGCCTTTATTTACTTGCCCCCAAATTAGGCTGAAAATTAGAATAACTGGATTATGGATTCAGATATCTCTATATCATAGATCCTGAAAGATTCAGTGAGAGTTCTATTTCTTGGGACTGGGAAGGCTCTCAGGCAGGTGGTCTAGATGGCCTGGATCACTAGGCATAAGGAAGGGTCTTCTCTTCTGGTGAGGGATCTGGGTAGGGTTAGCATAGGTGCAGACTTCACAGAGGACATGGTGGGACCGATGAAGTCTAACTTTCTCATTCTCCTTCTCTCTCATAGAGTAACCTTTCTCCTTCAGAAGTTGTGCAATGGTCCAACCACAGGGTGATGGAATGGCTACGATCTGTGGACCTGGCAGAATATGCGCCCAACCTTCGAGGGAGTGGTGTCCATGGTGGTCTTATTGTGAGTGACTTTCTGGATTAGGCCACCTGCCTCGGTACACACTGAGGTGTTCAGAAACTTAATTTCCTAAGGACCAGATATAAATTCTAGTTAAAAAAATGAGATACTTCACCTGAATTTCTTACATAGTTTGAAGTCTCAGAGAAAGTGTTTTGATATTTTGTGGCTGAGAATTAATGTACCTCATGAAAACAAGATGGCTTCTGGAAGGATTTCTTCAGCTTCAGACCCAGAGGATTCTAGAAAAGGGGGTTTGCATGAGGATCAACCCTGAATGAGGCAGCTCCATGTGTTCCTCTAGGAACAGGGGGACTAGGGAAGTGAGGGGGCGGCCATCAAATGTAATTTCCTGCTTGCCATGATACGGTCCTTATCACCACTCAGATCTGTCAAGTGACAAAGCCAGACAGGAAATATGGAGGTGGTGGCTTGGATGTCATCTGACCTTATCAAAGAGGTCTTGGTTTTGTGCTGGTCTGTGAAGATGAGGTGGCAGTCAGCAAATATGCTAATGTCTCAGAGGCAGACCTTGTGCCTGGGAGGGAGAGAGGAGTGGGACACAGAACAAATGGTAGAGCTTCAGCCCTTGCTCTGGAGCTACTCAGGCCCAAGCTTATTTCTCGTTGATACCCACCTAATACCATCTGTGGTCACCACTGACTAGGTTTGTCTGTGGTTTCTTCTTAGATCCTGGAGCCACGCTTTACTGGGGACACCTTGGCTATGCTCCTCAATATCCCACCACAGAAGACACTTCTCCGGCGCCACCTCACCACCAAATTCAACGCCCTGATTGGTCCTGAGGCTGAACAGGAAAAGCGAGATAAAATGGCCTCACCAGCTTACACACCACTGACCACCACAGCCAAAGTCCGGGTGGGTTTTCAGACCCTTTCTCTGTGGTCCAGAGGTGCTACCTCCTGTCTCCTGTGTTTCACAGCTGCTGCTTCAATGCCTGGAGCCAAACCAGTGTATGCAGTGTGGAGGGAGGAGGGGGCACATCAGCTTCCGTGTGGGAGTTTGGTGCTGTGGTTCTTCGTCTTTGTTAGGCTGTTCCCTAGTTTATCTTGAGTCAAGGAAGAGAGTGCAGGATTATGCACAGAGAAGCCGTGAGCAGGAAGTGTCTGTTCTTGGGCAGCTGGGAGTTAGTCCTCTACCCAGAGCTGTCATTGCTCATCTGGCAAAATAGATCAGTTCTGGATCTGGGTTTCCTTTGGTCAGGCCCATCTGCATGCCGAGGCACCATGCGGCTTGGTCAAGGCTGTCCTGCTGGCCAGGCCAGGGCATATACCACTTGGCAGGTGCACCTGCTCGTCTTGTTCTGTGAGGTGGCCAGCGTGCAGCTCTCCAGAGGTCCTGAGGTCATCTGTGCACCAGCATCATTCCCTAGGCTCCCTGAGTCCTGTAAAGATCTGCCTGAGAAACACTATCCTCAGACCACGTCCATCCCAGACCACAGTTACACTCTGGATTCCAGGCTGGCCCTGTCCCCAGTGAGCCAGCCTGGAGCCTCAGGTCCAGTGACAACTCACACACAGACCTCCTTCCCTGAGGGAGCAGGACAGCCAGTGTGTTTGGGGCACCTAGGAGAAACAACTGTTCCCCCAGGTGGTCAGCAGCTGGGCTGAAGCAAATCCTCTGTGCTCAGCCTCAAGTGCAGTCTGTGGCGTGCATTAGGATCCCCTGCCCATCTGGGAAACAGAAAGTTGCTGGCAGGGCAGCTGGACAGGAGTTTCAGGCAGTCTTAGGAGCAGCTCTTCTTGTTCAAGATTATTCATCAGTCGGCCTTTGCTCAGCATGGAAACTGCCTCCAGGCTCTCTGTTTGGTTTACTTTTCTAGAAGTAGTTCACCTTATTCCTTTCCTCCTGAGCCTGCTCTTAAGTATATTGTCAGTCATATGTGTACACTGGCTTGCTAATCCCCTTCCCATAATCTTGTATTTTCTGTGTTTTAGCCTAGGAAACTAGGATTTTCACATTTTGGAAACATGAGAAAAAAGAAATTTGATGAATCGACAGACTACATTTGCCCAATGGAACCCAGTGATGTCATCAGTGACAGTCAAAGGATCTACAGTGGCTACCGGGGCCTCAGTCCCCTTGATACCCCTGAACTGGATGGGCTGGATCAGGTGGGACAGATTAGCTGATGCCCCTGTCGCCTGCCTTCTCTGTGTACCTGAAAGCTCACAGTAACACCATGTGTGTCACCATATAACTGCACCTCATCCCCTGCACTTGTGCATGGCTTGCAGAGAACAGTGCCGCAATTGTGTGCCCCTGGGCCAGTCTCTCTTCACACTCTGCAGGCAGTCAGGATAAGGAGTTAGACCTCTGCAAAGGGGCCAAGCCTTGGGGACTGTTGTCAAAGGGGGAAGCAGAAGGAAAGACGCTTAAAGTTGCTTTTCCATTTTCAGTAGTTCTTAATGTCCATCTCAAGCACATGAACCTGGACAAAGGACCAGAAACTCTGGACAAGCCCAAGAGGCTGAGCTCTCAGGCACCTCCCCTGGGCTCCAGCTGAGGGAAAAGTTCAAGTGCCTTAGGCCTATGGGCCAGAGTCTTGGCTGAGAAGAGAGACGGAAGGGATTTCTGCCATGGTGGCAATGTAACTGGGTTGTGCCTTACTACAGAGATGGTCACTTCTTTCTGGTAATAAAAACACTATTTATGTAGAAAGCAAGCAGTGTAACCTATCTTGAATCTTGTTGGGGACAGAGATCTGGGCACAGCTGGAGATGGAGCCCTACTGACTGCAGTTTAGGCGCTTGTGGCAGTGAGCCCAGTCCTGGGCTAGGAGCACACTGGGAATTCATCATGGGGGATGGGCAAGGAGGTTCCCGCTCCCCTCTTCATATCCCATATCCATAAGAGGAAGCCCCAGGCCTTGCTGCCTCAGGCCCCACCCCACCGTGAAGCGGAAGGGAACCTTGGGTTCCACTGACAAGGCCACATCAGTCACGCAGACCCCAAAGCCCATTTCCATTTGATTCAGCAGCATGAGCCCTGTCAAGGGTATGGGGTGCAGGGCAGCCATGCTGGCAAGACTCTGTTCCTTCACATATTTTTCCAGCTTCTGGTAACTGTTGTGGGGCTGTGCCTTCTGTGCTGGCAGGGTTGGAACAGATCTGGCTTCCTTAAAAATATTTTAAACGATCTGGCCTCTTGATTTAGAGGCTGACTAGCTGATAATGGGCCCTCCAGATGGGCCCTGTCTGGCTGGAGACTGAGGGAGACACTCAGTGGCAGCCATTCCAGGTTGGCCCGGGGCAGTGTTTGGCTCGATGGGGTCCCTTGGGCCTCATCTCCAGAAGAATGGCAGCAATGTCCTGACCATCTGACAGCAGAGCAAGGCTGAAGACCTCGCTGGGGCCCTCGGATTCTGTCCCAGAGGAGGCCATACTGAGGTCTGTTTAACTATCAGCAGCCTGAGGCATGGCCTCTTCCCTCTGGCCTCCACTTCCCCTGGAGTCCACCTGGTGAGAGATGTGGGCACAAGCTCAGCAGCCAGCAGCACTGTTTGGTCTTGGTACCTAGGGCCACAGAATGTAGGTGCTCCTCAAGGCCGATACGTGGCTGCTGCAGTGGTACAGACAGTCAGGCCAGGCTTTATCTGGTGTTTCTTAATGTCCAGGTGAGAGACTCTGCATGTGCCTCTTTTCCAACCCTGCATGGAATTGTTTAGCCACTAATTCACTGGGCATCCTCAGGCAAGTCCCATTCCTTTTAATGGGCCTCAGTTTCCCCACCTGTAAAACAAGGACACCTTCCAAATCCCCAGCATCTATACACTGAAGAAAGAAGAAGCAGACCAGTATTACCTGTGGAGGAGGCCAGGGAAGGGAGCTCTTGCTCTTGAGTAGTGAGGAGGCCGCTGCTCTATCAGCAGCTTATCCCTACCTACACAGGAGCACCCGTGCCTGGGAATTGTGATTCTGTGCAGCACCCTGAAAGCCTCCCTTCCTGCTACCCTCTGCTCCTAGAAAACAGCTAGAACACTAAACATGTGTAGCAGGGCAGCTTCTGACTGGCGCTTCCTCTGCCCTGCCTCTTATAACCTAAATGTCGATGCTGCTGAGCAGAGCCTCAGGAAACCATGTGCATGCAGTGTGGGACTTTCCTCAGGGACAGAAGCAGCATGCGCCCCACCACCTGTCACGCCTCGGGCCTGGCACATTCCTTCCCTGCCCATCCCTCCAGGGAAGCATGCCCTGGAGAAGCCAGGCCCAAGCAGGGTAGGATTTGCATGCTGTTTGCAAATCACAAGCTGTACCCATATGTGCTGACAAGGCTGCTGCCCATTTTACAGATGACACCTTCGGAAGGCACTGTGACACAGATAGGGCTCCTCTCCCAAGATATTCACCGTCTTACGGTAGGACTCTGACCCTCTCCTCACAGTAGGGTGCCAGGGAGGCCCAGAAGGCCAGAAGGCCGGTGCAGTGGTGTTCAAGGCCAGGGGCAAATGAAGGATGGTGCTGGGCACCGGCCTCAGAGCCTGAGTCCAACCTGGAGGCAGAAGGCAGCCCGAGGGCCTCCTTCATTGGCCTGTTGCTGGGTCACAGGCCTTAAGTTGAAACCAGCTAGAGCATCCTAGGTCTCGGGTCCATTTCTCAGTCTGAGCTGAGAGGCTCTACATAGGCGAAAGCCCAGTCATTGTCTCTGTCCTGTCCCCTCTGCCCACGAGACTCACGCGTTTCCCATACCATGCCTCTGACATCACAGACACTTGAGGCAATCTGGCTGTGTCTGCCATGTCCAAGAGAACAAACAAGACCATAGGAGGCAACTTGGAAGAAGAATAGCTTTGGAGAGTGGCAGACCTGGTTCAAGTCTTTGCCCTGCCTTTTACTGGCTCGGGCACCCTCTCTGAGCCTTGGCTTTGTTGCCTGTAAAGCAAGATGAATAATATCCTGTTTGCAAGGCTCATAGTCAGATTAGAGCTGACAGCAAAAGGCCAGAAGCAGAGCAGATTCATCTTTGAGGCTTCATTTGTCCCAGGGCCCTTTGGTTCCATTCCCCGAACCTCATAGCTGCGCTGTCTCTCTGCATTGAGGCCCCGTCACTGTACTTTGCTTCGTGTTCTTTCAAAGTGCATTTAGAAGACTGTCTGAGTGTCACACTTTCCCTGAATCTAAGCAGGATCACCTTGATGCAGCTTTCCTTTTCTTGGCCTACACCCTGAAAGGTCTCTCCCCAACCTTTCCCTCCCTGTGATCTAAGAGGCCTTTGGTGTCTTTTTAAAAGAGCAAGATTGCCTCTAAGATGAGCAGTTTATTTTTATCTTACTAGTGCTATTTATTCTGACCCAGTGTTCAGGGTCCCTGGGACACCATGAACCTATAGGGCACCAGTGTCAGATGCAGATTGCACCCAGTGCCCCCTGCTTCCTCTATATCTGTGGGGGCAGCCTGGACCCAAACTCTGTCAATCTGCCCCTTTGGCTGTGTCCTTTCAGACCCTGCTGAGCCAGGACCAGCTGCTGAACGACTCTCGCCTGACTGCCCCCGACTCTGATGACTGGAGATGACATTCTTTGTGGCTGAGAGCCCAGAGAGGCACGTGTGAGGCCCTGTCTTTGTCTCAAAGGGGACCTGGCACACAGCCATCACAGAGCCCAGACTGCAGATGGGGCTGGCTGGGCATCTTGGAAATGGGTGCTGACTGGAGCAAAGCAGAGCAGTGCACGAGTGTCCAGGAGGTGGCCTCAGTGTCCCTAGGTTTTAGCCATGCTGTGCTCTTCCCTGCAGCTTTCTACCTTTTGTACTTTTATACAAAGACTGAAGACCGCTTTTGCAGGGAGAGCAGTGAGATACCAGCACACAGGCTGCATGGCTCATGCTGTTCCTGATGACAGCCGGGAGGCTCTTACACCAAAAGGGAAGAGCTGATAGTTCATAAAACCTCTCCTGGAAAAAAATACTCTGAAACTGTGTTCTGAATGTTCTGTAGTGACCGAGTTGGGTAAAACGATAACTAGGAGCTCTCTCAGAGACGTCTTCACGGGAACATGTATTTGAGATGAGGGAATTTAGGGTGAGAACAATGGGAGTCCTCCCCTGCTGCCCTGGCTATCCTCCACCTACCCTCACCTGCAGCAGGGGCCTGCTAAGTCCTCAGTCTCTGAGCAGAACCCGAAACACACACACCATTTCCCTCAGCGGCCTCAAGGGTAATGGCTGATCACACAGCGCCCCCTACTGGAAGGCCTTTGCGCACCAACGCAATGTTTCCACAGAAACTTGCCATCTTCCCAAACAAGCTTGCTCCATTTCTGCTGTCTCCCACCCCAGAGAGAAGCACCACTGAGTCCCCAGTGTGCCCTTTCCCTCCCGCTGCATGGCTACTCTAGTTTCATCTTGGTCTCTCAGCTGATTACTGAAGCTGGTCTCTTACTTGGTCCCTTGCCTTCCTAACTGGTCCCCTCTGTTCTCCTTGTTCCCAGGGCACCTTTCCCAGAGCACGGTTTAAATCCCATCACTCCTGGCACCATTCTGCTCAGAACTCAGTTACAGAGATTCCACAGATGAGCATCCAGGCCCTTAACTGTCCTCAGACTTTTTTGAGCCCAATGTTTGGCCTTTGCTCCCTCCAGGCTTTAGCTCTGGCCCCTCCCTCTCTGTGACATAATTTTTTCCTCCATCCCCTTCATGAGGCCAAATCCTGCCCGTTAAGGCCCAGCACAGACACTACCTCTTCCACGCCTCTCAGGAAGCCTTCACTCCTGTTCTAACTGGAGCTCAACTCTGTCCCACTGCACAGTTTTCCCTGGACTCTGAATGCTGCACAATAAGCCTTGAACTTAAATTTACACGGTGTCCTACCATATAACCTCCCTCAGCACAAACCCACTGAGCACCTGCCATAGACTGTAGTCTATGTACAGATATGAATAAGCCCAAATTCTGACCCTCAATTTGCTTCTTGATCAGAGGCCTGCTGACCAGCATTGTGGACCTCTACCCTCCATATGCAAGTAACACCCCTCTTCTAGTTGTGACAACTGAAATGACCCCAGTCTTTGTCAGATATTCTCTGAGGGGTAAATCTGACCCTGTTGAGAACCACTGGGCTAGAGAATGAGGTCACAGTGGGAGATTCACAGAAGGAAAAATATGATGTGGTCAGGAGTCCAATCAAGAGAGATCTTACAAGCCAGGCCCCTGGAATATGTCCCAAAGGCAGGAAGTGGCAAGGATGGGGACTAGAATCAAAGCAGGGAAGGGTTTAAAGTAGGTGAAACATATAGACTGATCTACATTTATGTAAAGTATCTGAGGGCAGGCTCTTGCTCCTTGTGAAGTGACCAGCAGACTAGAGAATTCCTTGAGGATGTGCTGAGTAGGTGGGGACACACAAGCTGGCCATGCCATCCCTTCCTGCCCCCTGCCACAGACCTGTGAGTACATCATTGGCCGCCTGTGGGCAAGACATCAAGACATAGCTGTGCTGCAAAGCTCCCTAGAGCTACGAGCCTCTCTCCCCTGCCCCTTTTGTTCCCTTCCACTCTCCTTCATACCCACACAGACAGGCAGACAGACAGACACGCACACATCATGCACACACACATAAACAGTGGCACCAAGTTCCAGTATTGCTGCTATGCCAGTTTTTGGAATTTAAAGCCAGCTCTGCCACCTAGTGGCTGAATGACTTCAGAACACTTAATCTCTGAGTTTGTGTCATCATCTGTAATAACGAAATAAAAATCCTCACAGCGCCAGGGATGTAGCTCAGCAGTTCAGCGCTTGCCTGGCAAGCATGAGGCCCTGAGTCCCAGTACAAAAAAAAAAAAAAATTCTCACAGAATCTCTGGTCTGTTCTGAGAATTATATGAAATCCCAAAGGAATGGCCCTACCTACTCAAGCAACAGAGCAGCAATGTGTTGTCCTGGCCCTGAGGATAGTGATGGTGGCCCCTTGTACCATTTGGGTTTATTGATAGGATTTAAAGCAGAGCCGTCAAATTGAAAAGCTTCTGAATATAACCACTCCTAACCTGGCCTAATGCCAGGGTGGAGCCAGGAGATTGCTGGAGAAAAGAGCACGCCACACTTCCATCTCCAGACTCATAGGGAGTCTGGAAGGAGTCCTTAGAGCCACCTGCCTGTTTCTGTTTCAAAGGGTTCCACAAAGGAAGGAAGAGCACACATGCTGGGTGCCTGAGGACTGTTGTAGCTTTGACCTTAAACACAGGCCTCCCTGGAGAGGGGTTCATGAGAGATTAGTGGGAGTTGATGCAACCCCATTTGGATTCTGCTCTGGCACCATCGCCAGTGTTCTCACCCCCAACCTTTACCGGAAGCCAGTTATCAAGCACAGTAGTTGTGGCCTCCTGATCTCCAGCAGGGCCCCACAGAGCCATGCTTCCTGGGCTGTCTACTGAGAACTTAAATTTATTTCACTGAACCATGGAGACAGGTACGATAATGGAGCTCTTTCTGGCCTTCAAGCCATGGGGCCTCAGAAGCCATTCTCCCTGGTCCCTGGAACCCTTCTTCTTAGGCCCACACCCAAAAGAGAGGTGCCCCAGGGTGCATGCCCAAGGGGGCTTAAGGAGACACTTTGGCAAACATCCCAGTTTAACCTAGTGAAGCCAAACTGACTCTGAAACAGAGGGTGGGGGCCTGGGAAGCTGGCAAAGAACATGGGAGGTGTCAGTAGGTGAATATCATGTCCTTAGTGTAAGCCAGCTGCTCCAGGCTGGGGTGAGCGGCAGTCTGGATCAGGGGTGGGGGGCCACACACCAGGATGAGAATGGCCTCCCCCGGTGGAGGGAGGTGCTCCTTGATCATGTGGGCAGTAACAAAGCCCGAGCCGTAGTTCCAGCCTGAAATGAAGTAGAGCAAGAAGTCACTGTGAGGTTCTGGGTTAAGTCCCTGACCTCGAGGCAAGGAGCAGAGAGGTGAGGCTGCCCTGAACAGGTCTAGAAGTCTGTACTGCTGTTCGCTGCGGACTCCTGAGAAGAGAGTGTGGGAGCCTCAGACAGTCCTCTGGCAGTATTTACTCCAGATTTCAGGCTCACTGTTGGGACTCAGAGGCCCGCGTTGGTGTTTGCAGGCTCAAAGCACTGAGGAGGGTGGAGAGCTCCATGGTGAGGTCTACCAGGGTACAGTGTAAATCAGGGCAGTGGACTGGTATGGTGTTTGTGGAGTTGGGCGCCCTCTGCTGGTCAATGTGATGTATGATGAGACCGGTGCTACCGGGTGCAGCACACATTCTGGTGGCTGGGGCTCAGCATATGAGCAACGCTGTCCAGAAGAGGTGGGTGCTGAGGGATGCTGTGGCTATAAGCAGTGGTGTGAGGTGAAGGGACCGGTGGGCACATGAGATGCAGTGTGTGCGATGGCTGTGGGGGCACAGGCTTTCAAGTAGCCCAGCGGCTCAGTGTCCCTCTTGATACTCAGCGGTGTGTGGTGTGTTCCTAAGATATCAGACACCTGCCTTTGATCACCCTCCTTACACGCCCAAATCCTCCCTCGAATTCTTGCCTTTCCCATATGGACCCAGAACAACAGGCCTACACCCTCTCTGAAAAAGGTCAAATGAACAGAGCCCAATCCCGAGGAAGAGCAGCGGTTGGAGCTGCCCCACAGCGACCGAGGGTGAAGGGCGCATTCCGAGGGGAGGCCTGTCCAGGGTGTACCATATGCTGAACTGGTCTAGGTGAGTCCTGGCAATTTCTTCAAGCTCCTTTCTCATCAAGATGTCCTCCTCGGTCTAGAAAAGGAGCATTTAAAAAGCCCCATGCAGAGACAGTATGCATATCCCCCACACGGAGGACACCCCTGCCCACGCTGTGCCGCCCTGGCCTGCGCAGACTCTACAGACTCCCGGGGCGAATGAGGGTTCTGTGCTGCACCTGCAGACCAAAGCTCCCCTCTCTCTCTCTATCAGCGAGGAGTAGCTGGGAGGGTGAGGACAGAAGTGGCCGCCCTCCAGCTGGAAAGGCTGGCCACAGGGACATCCCTGCCCCACCTCCTGCATCCACACTAGGCAGCAGGTGCGGCAGGCCCACCTGGCACAAGCTCAGTAGGGTATTCTGCAAGGAAGAAGGGGCTGAAGAGTCACAGGGAGAACAGCACTGGGGAGCTAGGACCAGAACCGGAAGGCAGTCTGGAGCCTCGCCTGGGAAAAGGGACCCAAACCCCTCTCACGGGCTCAGGGAGAGCACACAGAAAGCTCTGCATGGCACCTGCCCTGATCATCCCACTTCTGGAGCTGTGTTTACGAAAATAATCTAAAAGCAGTCAGACCTTGGCACAATTATTCATCAGTGTATCATTTATCATTTATAACTAAACACTGAAAACTTGAACGTGGGAGATGTAGTATATATACATCTATAGTACAACTTGACATAGCCTGTGATGAATATAAAGTGTATTAATGAGAAGAAAATCCTGTGTGGTAATGCTAACTGAAATATATATATTCTATTTCCCAAGATTTCTATTTCTTTGAGGGTATCTTTGATTTTTTTATACTAAAAAAACCCCCAGAGAAATAAATATTAATGAAGGAAAGCTTAGAGCTCGGGGTTGACTGGGGAGACAGAGTTAAAATCCAGCAGGAACACAGGACCAGCTCAGTTCCTTTCCGGCGAGCCCACTCAGCCCTCCACAGCCGCGGGCACCCAAGCAGCGCATGCTCAGTCACCGGGGGCCGACGAATGCGGAGCCCAGCTCAGCAAACTTTCCGCCCCACCGCTGCAAGCTCAGAGCTGACGCGGCAGAACTGACCTGGTTGGCGAACAGGAGGGACGTTCTGGTCCTGTCGCTGGGGTTCTTGGTGATGTGGCGGATGAGCTGCAGCATAGGCGTAATGCCTGGAACACAGTGAGTGGGTGGGAGGGCTTGCTCGGATATCTGAGGCCACAGTCCCTGGCCTGCAGCTGCTTAACAGTTTCCCTTGGCCCTCATTATACCTCTTCACTGTGCTCCAAACTCGAAGTGGGGAACGGTCCTTCACTCTGGTATTGCTTTCTAATGCAACAGTAAGTCAGAAACCCCGCCTCATTTTCCCACAATGGGAAGAGAATTCTTAGATCTTCGGTGTCTTCATTTGCAAAAATTATCAGTGGTGAGTAAATGTGATGGGTTTTGAAGCCCCTATGATGGTGCCTGGCACCCTGTGTGTATCCGTCAAGGTTATTCTCTCCAGTCAAGTGTCACTCTCCGGATGGGGAGAGTCCGTGGACTGGATCCGGTTGCATGTGGGGGACCACAGGCAGTGCCCAGCCTGACCCCACAGCCTGACTCCCAGGCAGCCACCACATTGGCTAAGGGAAGAGGGAACCATCAGGTCCAAGATAAGTACTAAGGCTGCATTCCTCTCCCCACAGCTAAGGGAGGAGTAACTGAAGCCACACCTTCTAGCGCCAAGTAACTGCAAAGTCAGAATGGTCGCGGGGGTCACTGACTGGGTGAAGCCCCCAGGAACCTCTTACCTGTGCCTCCGGTGATCATTCCCAGGTGACGGACTAGTTTGTTTTCAGGCTGGCTCGTTTTGTATGGTTTGATTGCAAGTCTCCCTAGAAGCACAGAGGATGTCTCTAACTTCTGCGGCTCTTGTCCGGGAGCCTGCAAAAGGTTACCAACATTCCTCCAGGCTTCTAGGAGACAAGTACACCTAAGAGATGGCTGTACTGTTTTAAGGCAGAGAAGCAGGCCACCGTGGCTTCCTGGGTCAGCCCCAGGACACTGGTGCACAAAGTGGGACTGGAGCCTGGGCCTCCTCTTCCGAGGAGAGAGGCAAGCTGAAGCTCATAGGGAGCTTCCCAGAACACGCTCACCCACAGGGAATGAGTGAGTAAAAGATGAATATGCGACAAGCCAATCAGTGTGGACTCCAGCCATGGCCCATTTTTCAGGATTAGCAAGCACCATACTGGAGATACAGTGATGAGATCACACCACATGAAGCTTAGGACCTTCCGACGTGGGTGCGTGGGTGAATAACAGATGTGGTTATACACTAATCTGGATGAATGAATGTAGGAAGACCTGAAGGACAAGCACCTGTGGAGTCTGAGCAGAGTTCTAGGATAACAGAGCCACTGCAGGAATCTTCTTCCTCCCAGCTGGAGGAGACCTATTGGGATCCCACCAGTACCTGGACCTTGGTAGAACAGCTGCCCGGTCGGCCCTCGAAAAAGGATGGTATCTCCAATTTTCATGTTCTCCAAGTACTGAGTCATCTTCCCCCCTTCAGGATATTTAGGGTGTACATTTTTGAAGTAGATCAAAAAGCAAGGCAGGGTAGTTTTCACGAGTCCTGACTTACGGCCACAGCTGCACACAGCTACCAGAGGCATTTGGCACTGCATGCCCCGCAGGGAAAGCACTCTGCCTTCATGGCTGCTTTAAGCACTCCCCTAAGACATCACAAGGTTAACTGTACCTCAGTGGTCAAATGCATCTCTGGAAAGCCCCATCTGAGGCACCATTCCCCTCAGAGCAGAAGCACAGCCATCTACCCACCACCCTCATGCTCGGCATGATAGGCATTGTTTACCTTTATAATTAAATCCACAAAGCCTCAGTCATCATCACTGGAGACAGGTGTGTAGGCCCTGATCACCAAGTCACCATTAATCCTGGCCAAAAGGTGGACATAGTTCCCTATGGAAAGGGCATCAAATGTTAAGTCTGAACATGGCCGGCTAGGTATGACTCAGGAATCCCATAAAGTACTGAGCTTCAGTGAAGGGGGAAAATGGTAGGATGTGACAAGGTGTAAGCAGGGAGGATGTCCCAATGCAGGATGCTTGGATCCTATGCCTGTCCTTGATGGTTCATGTGCTACCCTGGGCAGCCCACTTCACCCCCCTGTCTGTTCATCTCTAAAATGGAGATGACAGGCTCAGAGTGTAGCTCAGTGATAGCATTTGCCTGGCATGCAGAAGGACTCAGATTTATCCCCAGCACTACAAAAGAAAAGAAAAGAAAAGAAAAGAAAAGAAAAGAGAAAATGAAAATGCCTGCATAACTGTGGTCATATTGTTAAGTAATCTGCAGGGCAAGAAGAGCTAATTAAAGTTGGAAGGTAACTATTAAAAATGATAAAGAGGAGTGTTTGCCTTTTAAAGAAAAATATGTTTCTTTACAAACTCATTTCTTCCTAAACAGAGGTCTGTAAGTCAGAGCTGCCCTGTCTGTATACGTTGCCTGGCATAGAGCAGAACTCGGCTTATAGAGGCTATGGGGACCCCAGATCAGAACACCCATGGTTTAAATAAAGCAGTAGCATTGTGTCTTCCTGGTCTGGGGGTTTGCTGAGAGGCAACTGTGAAGTTGCATTTCTGCCCCTCCAGTGTAGAATTAGTAGCCTTGGTAAGGCCAGTACCTTTGGATGTTGACTATCGCCCAGTGTCAGATGAGAAGTTTAGTGGCTCAGCTATCTGTCGGATCAAAGGGGGAGACTTCAGTGATGAAGGCAATTAGTGATGAAGGCAGGAATTGCCATCCAGAGATGCTAAGAGCTAGAGGCGAGAGAAGGCTCTTTGCTTGTTTCTAAGGAAGCAGACACTTAGAATGTCCAGGAAATCAGACAACAGCCTGTGGATATGCAGATAGAAAGGGACACTTAAGGAGAGACAGAAAAAAGAAGAAGAAGAGAAGAAGGAGGAAGACAGTTTGTTTGAGGTGCTCAAGGGACGCACAAGCAAGGGTCTTTGAGGAGGCCCTAAAGCCTGAGGTCCAAACACTAAACACTGGCTCAATGCCTGGCCATGGCCTGGCTGACCGCTAGGGTCACATAGGGATACATATCTGCAGCAGCTTCCATCTGAGAGCTCACACAGAGCAGGGAACTTGGAAAGGTTCTGTCCAATGCAGCCAGCCAGGGCATGGCCTGGCAGTGTCCCCAGACAAGATGAGGCTGACCCACTGGTCCCTCTGGCCTCATCTCTAACCAAGCAATCAGCATCAGCAACCCTCAGTCCTTCTACCACACACGCCTAGAAGCCACTGTTACCTTTTCCTACTCTACAATCTTTGCATGGCCTCCACCAGGGCCTAGGAGAGTGTGGGCCAAAGCAGTTTCTAAGAAATTCTTTTTCTCCAGGTTTTTCAGCCTTTCATGCTTCCTGCATGAAAGAACTGGTGGCAGGTGGGGCAGAGACTGGAAGGTGACAGGACACTGTGCTCAAGTACAGAGAAGGAGCAAAGGAGCAGCAAGGAGGCTCAGGGCCCCTGAGTGTCCTGTGTATAGTTTCATCAGCTGACAGGGTGGACTGCAAGGTTCTGTGCTGTGTGGATAAGACAAATGGGCCATGGTTTACTTCTCCACCAGGGGGAAAGGAGCGAGTGCAATTTCCCTGGGCCCTGAGGTTTTCCATGTCATGAAGACTGACTCGGCTATCTAGAGGTGCTACAGACTAGAAATGGGGTCACTCAGAACTCTAGAACTGCTGCAGCTGGTGTCCACAATGAGTCCCTTCTTGTGTGGGTCTCAGGTCCGTGCAGAGAATCCACATGGGGCACCTGCCTCCCCCTCACCCCTGTATACATTCTGGGCATCTCTTCTGACCATAAGGGAACATTAACTGCCCCCCCGCAGCCCTCCTATGTGCACAGTGATTTACAGTTTCTGAATTTTCACATTCATCAATCACTTTGCCCTCACAATAGTCCAGCTGAGGTAGGCAGGCAGGCCCAGGAAATCCCATTTCATAGAATGAAGATCAGAGAGGTTGAGGATTAAGGTCACCCAGCAAGGAACCTCAGACGAGATCTTAGACCTTCTGACTCTAGGCTCACTTCTTCTCAATGCTCTTGAGGTGCCACTCTTGTGCCAGCCCAAATGGAACGAAGAAGAAAGGGAACACATTGCCCCCAGTCCATCTCCCTGGGCTCACGTGGCCGTGAAAGGGTACACTCTCCCTTCATGCCTTGGGAGATTGGAAACCTCTGCTTCTGATAGGAGCAGAGTGCCTGCCCCACCCCCAAATCTAGCCCTAGAGGTGACCGCAAACCCAGCTCACCTACAGGAAGCCCTAAGACGTGGTCCAGTGAGGGGAGCCCAAAGCGGAACCTCAGGGTGTTGTGGCTGATTTGCTGGTGAAACAAAACAGAGCCAGGCTCAGTCAGCATCTAGGCGCCTCATTGGGCAGCCTGGACGCCTGGTAAAGTACTGCATTTGGCCATGAGGTAAGCACCAGCCCATCCAGCTCCCCAGGCAGCATTCCCCACCACCCCTGCCCTTTCTTCTACTCACCACGGGAGGAGTTGGGCTGTCCCACTACCTCTTTCTCAATCAAAGGCAGCGGGTACTTGGTGTCAGGATCCTGTAAGGTGATCAGGTCTTTCCTCCTGGAGTTCATGCTCCTCAGGGCAAACAGCAGCACTGTGACCCCGAGGAAGGTGATGGCCAGCAGCAGGGACAGGTCCTGGCAGGGACAATTCGAGCAGAGCACCTCAGGTCTCACCTGCCTCGGGGGGCAGGCTCCTCAGGCACAGCACATGGTCCCCTTTCCACTGCCAGGGAAGATGCAGGCTACATCTCAGAGGAACCAGAAGAGGGGAAGGCACCAACCAACCCAGAAGGCAGGGGTGGGCCAGAGGGTAGGCAGGGATCAGCAGAGGGTCCGACAGGCCCCTCCTGCCCATCCCATGTCCCATGGCCTTCATCAAGGGCGCAGACACTGGGAGGCTGTCCCAGGCCAGGGCGGAGGTGACCACAGTATTTGTATCAAGCAATCCGGAATGAAGGGAACGAAGGCCTGAGTCCTGAGCCTGAACTAGAGAAGGGGGAGGCTGGCTGCCAGTTGTGCTCCCAAGGTGGCTGTGGATGACAGCGGGGCTCACCTCTCCAGTCCCCCACCCACGTCTGGTCCCGCAGGGTGAGTAGACCTGAGGAAGGAGGTTTCTCAGGACCTCAGGGCCTGGGGGCTCACTCACCGGGGGCCTCCAGGGCAGGCGAAGGCAGAGGCTTGGCCAGCGTCCCCTCTTCTGCCAGCTGCTCATTGCCTGCTCACTTCCCGCCCACACCAGCACTGGCTGCTTTGGCATCCGGATGGCCCGAGGGCGCCAGGTGGAGGGTTCTTCCTCTCGTGACCCCGGCTGCGGTCCAGCCCTGCCCGGGGCCTCGTGGAACACCGGCGTCCGCTACTTGCCGGGTGGTGAGCAGTTATTACGTCTGACCTTGTTATAGTCCCCCATACCTCATACCTTATATGCAGATAAAGGACAGCTAAGCAAAGTTTGGGACAGTCCTTCCATCCACCCGTCCACCCACCCATCTTTCCACAGTACTGGAAGTTCTTTGAACCACCTGCTGCAGCTGCGTTGAGTGTCCTTTTGCCTTTTCTGTTTGTGCTGTCATTGTGCACTAATGAATTCCCCTGGTGATTTGTCTCTGTGCACACCTGCCTTTAAATTCTTTCCTTGGTGGAACAAGGACCTGTCCAGGCTGAGCTGGCCTCTGGCCTCCCTTGAGGAGGAGGAGTCCCTCTGCCACTCTCCCGGTAGGTAACAGGGCCAGTGTAACAAAGTGCTGTAGCCCGTGTGACTTAAGCAGCATAATTTTGCAATCTCAGGGCTCTAGGGGCTAGAAGTCCAAAATCAAGGTGAGCTTGGTCCCTTCTGAGGGCTGTAAAGAAATCATCTGTTCCAGGCCTCTCTCCTTGGTTTGTAGGCGGTGACTTCTCCCTATGTCTTTTCACATAAGCTTCCCTCTATGGGTGCCCGTATCCAGATTTTTCCTTGTTGTAAAGACATTGGTCATATTGAATTAGGATCCGCCCTAATGACCGCATTTTAACTTGATACCTCTGGAAAGACCCAATCTCCTATTAAAGTCATTCTGAGGGACTGGCAGTTAGGGTTTCACATAGAAATAGGATAAAACAGCCCATAATACCACATCAAGACACAGGATTTTGTCAGATATCTCAATTTCTGACAACATAAGGTAAAATAATGTCTCATGAACCTTGGATTATCTAATAATTACTAATGTTATTCTGTGTCTCAGAATAAAAATCTCGGTTGTCTGGGTAAGTTTGATGTAATTGGTCCTATAAAAAATAATCAAGACAATCAAAGGACAAGGCAATTCAGTGACAGCAGAGAGACTGAAGTAATGAACTTTGAAGATGAAGGAAGGGGCCACAAGCCCAGGATACAGACAAGGACATGGATTTTCCCCTTAGAACTTTTGGAAAGAATGAGCCATGGGAATATCTTGACTTTGGCCTATGAACTAACGGCTTTCATATTTCCACTTCTAGAAAAACCATAAGAGAAAACTTTTTGTTATTTTAAGCCACTAAATTTATCATTATAATTTTGAAGCAGGAGAAAGAGTTTTAATTGTGAAGGTTGATGACTGTGAAGGCTGGTGGCCAAGGGAAGACTACACATTCCTCCCAAGATAATCATTTCATCAACTTCATCCCACTCCAGTGTTTGAGGTAAAAACAGAAAGGTCTCAAGCCTGACTGTGTCACCATACTTCACTCTGTTCTTTGCTTAAGACAAAAACAGGAGGTTTCTGAGCTAGTGTAAGCTGGTTTTCCCCCAGAGATCTGCTTGAAGGTGACTGAGACCCTCATTTACATGCTGAAGAGAGATACCCAAGAGGGGAGACTACACCAGTAGGCTTCATGCTCATGCATACGTAGTGTGCAATTGATGTACTACTTATACCCATGCTAATGGTTTTATTTTAAAAAGTATATAATCTCACTTTACCTCATCGTGGAGCTGTTCTTTCTATTAAGTAACCTCCTTTGCTATTCCTTCCTGGGCTATTTCGTCTATGGGCCACCCTGCTGCTGTACCCTGTGCAATTCTAATAAACTCTTTCTCTTTACTATTTCCTGAATCTCCTTAGGGTTATTTATACCTGAACTTATTCCAAAACATATTTCCCATGACTTGGCCAGAAGTTTCCTTCTCCTCTGGTGCTCTCATTACTGTAATTGTGGTTCTCTTTCCTGAAGCAGCTCCTCCTACCTGGTCACACTTCACCTCATCATCCCTGCCAGGGCACATAAGGATCCCACCCACTCCATCCCTTCTTCTTCACCCTCGTTCTGGCCACCCTTTGTACATTTTGTTAAAATGTCATCTTGAACAAAGAAACTCACCAGCCAAATATATGTGACTTAGTGAACTTTATGAGAAGCACTGAAAGAACTCCCAGCCCACTCCATGTACCCAACACAGACCCATACAGGGTATTGCTTGAGTTGGATGTTTCTTGATTTTCCTCTTCAAGGAAATTCTACTGGTACCTGATGAAAATTCCCCACTGAGCACTGCAATGGTATACTTTGATTTCTGAAATACCTTCAACCTAGACTTGTGCATGAGAACTATGGCTATGGAAAGTTTTGCTTACTCACTCCTACAGCGCTGTAAGGGGACTCCTCAGGCAAGATTGTGGAAGATGAGGCCTGAGACACCTGGGATGATCAGAATTTGCTAGAAACTGTGCCCGGGAACAGTCAAAAGAACAGCTTGCAGAACCTACTCCTGTCATCTCTCCCACACTCAGGGGAATCCTTCCTGAGCAGCTATGTCTGCAGAGCTGCGCCAACCATGCCAGTCACGTTCTCCACCAATATTTACAGCAGTTGCTTCAACTCTTCCTGAATAGCATCTGCTGTGGCAGGGGCTGGGTTCGAGCCTCCAAAAGGTAATGACTGTGAGTTCACAGCTTGGCAACAACAGAGAGTTAATGGGAAAGCAAAAGTCATCAGCGAGGGAAAGTTCTACCTACGCAGAGCGTGGCTGCCAGCTTGGGCGCTGCCAGCCCTACAGTAGGAGAAAGGCAGGCCTTGAGGATGAGGAGAAGGGGAAGAGGTGGGAAAGAAGAGAGATGACTCCTTTCCACGCTTGACTCTTACTTAGCACAAACAGGCGTGGTGAGGAAAGTTGAAAGTTTTCTCTTTTCCCTCTAAAATTTTGGTGATTTTCCTTTATAGAAAAAAGGACATAAAATAAATTAACAGGGAAAAGGCACCCAAGTTATTAATCAATGTACGGAAGCACAGGAGCCATATATACAAAGTGTGGCTCTCAGGGAAGGGGCTAGAGGTTGACATTTATCTAGTAACTGGCATTACACAGAGGAATAGGGGCTTGAAGCTTAGGGAAGGGAGGTGGCTGCACAGCCATGGGGGGTCAGAAGAGGAACTGCAGGGCCACGACAGGCTCTTACACACAGACAGACCGTCCCACATAGCGACGCCCAGAAGGTCACCTGTGACGATCTCTGTCTGCCCAGGTGTCAGGCCCCCAGTCTCTTCTTCCTATGAAAAGATCTTTCCTGGCAGCTACAGGAATCTCACAGTGAAAACCTTGCCTTTATCCCTTGCTTACTTTACTAAGATAGATAAATGGAAATGTCTTTCAGAAATGGACAGGTTTTCAGAGCCATTTCTGTCTGCACTTGCTCTGAATACCCATTTTGAAATATGTCAAGGAAATACATTTGGAATAGGGTATTTCACTGTCTCACATTTGGGTTGTTCAAAACCTTACCCCAGACTCTGCTTCTCTATCTCTAAAAGGACAAAAGCAGGAGCTTTTTAGATAAGACCTTTGTTTGTGAGAAAAATTTCCATTTCTAAAATGTTTTAAAAGGCAGGAACAAGTTGATAGAACAAACTGGACTAAAATCTGCATTCTAAGAATAATTCTAAAACCTTCATTTTCATAGAGCTGTAGACTTCGCAAAGTGTTTCTGACAAGGAAATATATCTCCCTGAAATTGTTGTAATGTTTTTGTCACCATGCTAGTTTGGTGCCTTCTCTAAGGTCACATGGCTTGAAATAGCAAAGCTGGAATGTGAGTCCCTGCTTCTGGATTCAGCCTTGTGTTCTTGGCCTACACCGCCACAACCCGTGGGGCAGCAAATGGACAAAGAACATTGGTTGGTATCATACAAATTTAAACTAGATTCTTGATTTTAAACTTAAAAGCATTTCCCCATTCTTTTTAACCTGACAGAGCTGAGACCCAGGGTTCGGTGCTAAATGATGATTCTGGAGGGGGGACCATGGTTGAGCGGGTCAGTTGTATTGAGGAGGCCGCTTTGCACAACCGCACTTTTATTAAAAGCAAGTGTAAGTTTCTTCCATTGTAGAATAAAATTCAGAAAGCACAGAAATGAAGAAAGTACATCCCTTTTCTCTGCCTTTCTTCCTGTTACTATGTCACATGACCTGTTCAGATCTCGCCAATTGCTCCCTTTGGGTTCTATCTAATCCTTTTCTTCTCTTACCTGCTTAAAAACATTGTCCCAGCAATTCTTTCCTATTTGTCCCACATTATCAGCCCCTCTCTCTACTTGATAATTCCTATGAGTATACATATGTGCTATAATTTCTGCAATGTCTAAAAGCACGGAGACCTTTCTCTTCACTTCCATACCCCTGTCTAGGTGCTGATCCATTCCATGGTCCCAGTTACCATAAGATTCCTTTAAAAAGCAGCTTATATCTGCTGCTGCCCATTTTCCCATCACATTCTTTCTTAAATATACTTTTTTTTTTAAAGCTTTTTCCTTCACCACTCCTTCCAGATGCTAAGATGGCCCTTACTGAGATCACTAATATCCTCACATTGGAGATAATGGTCAGTCCTCATTTCTACCACCTTGAAATGTTGGAATGCCCCAGGACTCAAATCTCACTCTTCTTTGGTGAACTCATCCCATGTCGTGGGTTTAAATATCAGCTACAGGCTGACAGTTCTGAAGTTTACTTGTCCAGCTTGGATCATTCAGACATCTAGCTGCCCACTTAACATCTCCTCAGTGATCATGGTAATTTAAATCATCAACAAAGAGAAACTCCTGATGGCTCTAAGTTGTTCAGGCTGGCCTTGAGCTTGCAATCTTTCTGTTTCAGCTTCCTGAGTAGCTAAGATTACAGGCTTGTGCTTCCACACCTGACCCGACCATGTTTTTTTAAAATTGTATTCACTAACTGCCCATCCCTGCTTCATTTTCTTTAGTGTCTTTATTACCAACTAGCAATAATTTTTGTTGTACGTCTTTCCTTATTTTCTGTTTCTCCATCACTACAAGATTCTTATCTGTTTTACTCCTTGCCATATCCCTTGTGCCTGATGCCTGACACAGATGGTCACTTGT